TCGGAAGAAATTTGATAATTCCATAAAATATTTGTTACCAGTATATGCATTCTAAATATATAAGAAAGATAAGATGATAATTAAGATTCAACACTACATTCAAAGATAAAGCAACGATAATATTCAGCGTGTCGTATCGCAGTCGTATCGCAGTCGAAGATGAGCTTATTGCGAATTTACGCTAGTTCCTCTTGTGGTATTAAATACGCCGAACGTATGATATCGCAGTTAAATATCACAAAAGTGAGAGGAATGCTGGGATAATTGGAAAAATTACACCACGAACGATGCGTTATGTATTTTACTGGTGCGGCCGAGGCCTTAGCTTAGCGACGAATTATCGGCTGTTTGTTCTAATACCCGTTGCACGATTTTCAGATATAGTTAAGATAGTCAGTATCTGGGTTCCTCTCACGAGTAACATGAGAGCTTGGTTCTTCGGTAATTTAAGAGCAACTTGAATGCACGCGAGTTTGGCAATGTCAGAATATAAGGACTTTCACGAATACATACCTACACAAAAAAAAAACAGTTTTACTAAAGTATTTAAAAATATACAGATCAGAAAATAATTTTATTTGACTATGAAAATAATTATGCCCAAACTGAGTGCTAAAATATCGAAATTTTTTGCATTTTTTGCAGCATCGTTCATCATGTTTGAGTTTCCTACATAATTATTTTCAACAAAATTATTTTAAATCTGTATTTAGAATCTGTATCTGAATTTTTAGAAACTTTAGCATAATCATTTCTTCCGTGTATCAAGCATCCTAAGATCAAATTCAAAAATGTGAAAATGTAAGATCTGAAGAAAGCCTGACTGGAAGCCTGACTGTGAAAATGTGAAATTACGAAACTTGAAAAACACAAAAATTTTTAAATTGAGATTTAACTGGAGGAGATTGAAATTTAGATGCATAGAACGTGCAGGTAAACGTCCGTATAATCATATTCCAATGTAAAAAGTTTTAATCACACAACAGTCGACAGCTTTCGGATTTACTGAAGTTGAACGTGAGTTATAGTCGACGCAACCTGATAACAAAAATGCTGAGATGAAAACGATACGTTGCTCGTAAATGTTGCAGTCGTGATAAACAGCGCGTTGTCCAGGATTGATTGATCCTGGCGCACGCAGTGGAGTTTCGCGGAGATTTGCCGAGAGTAAAGGGGACCGATTTAAAAGTTTCGTTCACAATGGGACCTCACGCGTTGAACGTGATATATTGGTCTGATACCGAGGAGTTAGAGAACTGTCCGCTGATGATGTATTTAATGATCCCCGCTTCTTCTTCGATACGGAATCGACTTCCTGCACCACTGCCACACTGATCCACATCGATATCGATCTTCCTAGATCCTGTTTCCCAACAGCATTCCTTAGATTTTCTTGCTAAACTAACTGAATTTGAAATATTTCTATTCACTTCGAATATTCAAGTTCAGCAAGAACTCAAAATCGTACAAATACTACCATACAAAAATCGAAACAATTTGAAATCGAAAAATTTAAGAAGTAAAAATCACATTAATTAAGCCATCTGCGTATTATATAAAGATCAGAAATAAATTTTACATTAAAAAAAAATACGTAAAATATAGAACTAATATTGCAAAAAAATTGTTACATTTAAATATAAAATCTTTGTCGAAATATTTTTTAAAAATCTAACAACGTTAGCAGACAAAGAAACATTAAAAATACAATTTTATGCGCGCACATATACAAATCGCCAGCATCGCTTCCTGTTCCAGATTATTTATTGTATCCACAAGCTAACGGTGCATGCATCCTTACGCGTTCCACGTACAAGGTTCTCTAAATGGACAAGCATTGTTTGCCAGCGAGTCGTGTAGTTAGTGTTGCTCAATGCACTCGTATCTCTAAAAGAGATAATTTGAATATCGAAGTTATCGCGAATGAAACTTAAAGCTTGAGACACGAATTGGGAGAAAAATAATGCTAAAAATTAAAAAAACATTCGAAAAATAATAAAACATAAAATTAAAAAAAATTTTTATCAATATAAATATATATTAGGATTTAATTGCCTATAAACTTAAAAGATACGATGTCTTGAATGAAAAAATTGAAAAATTTGAAAATCAGAGAAATTTGATAATTTGAAAATCTAGGAAGTGAAAAATATATCAATCGTTCAATGAAGACGAAGAATCACGTCTAGCCTGCTATCCTGCGGATCACGGTTGATCACGGTTCGCGGTCTTTTAAGCGACAGGTGCAAACATTCAGGGACCAGCGCAAAAAAGGAAGCCGGTAATTGTAAGCCCCGGGTAGAAAAACCAGTTTGCTAAAAACAACCCGGGCCTGATCGAGTCTCGTTGCGGGGCTACCGAATAACCAACGGATGTCGGTGTGGCAACGTGCGTGTGAGGAGTACGTGAGAAGCGGAGCTTTTGGAAATCCATTTTAAAATATCTCTTAAAATCTTCATCCCGTGGAAATTATGCGTCTCACCACCCAAGAGAAAGTCTCAAATACATTCCAAGATGTTTTGAACTAAACAAGAAATTATGTTAAAATGATTATATCGCTTTATAAATCATTTTTATACGTCATCAGAAAGATATATCTTCTTGACATTTTTATTGTTTTTATGTCTCTCCGATGACAACTAAATATAAATTAATGAGACTATATGGCAGTAATGTTATTTGACGTTGAAAATATGTTCTTTAGTAGGTATGACGTTTCATGTTTAACTCTAACGTAATAAACGCACGCAGTCATTCTGTCACGTTGAAAAGGCGCCAGAGAGTCGCAATACTTGAACTTATGCAGGAAATACTTTCTATGAATGAACTTTCTCACCGCTCATCGAGGGAAAGATACAGTTAAATGCCAAAACGAACCGGAGCTGAAGCGGGACCCGCAAAAACAAAAATTGCAACTTACTGCGTAAAGCTACCTTCCTCACCATTATCAAATTACAAAGAAACTATTGTTTCAATAATATAACAATTTATCGAATGGCTTGCAGTTTGAAAAAATTTTGCAGCTTTGAATTCTCTCTTGAAAGATTAGAAATTTTCAAAAGATTCCCAAAAAATCGCACCCTTTTTAATCTTTAAAACAAGAGAAGCTGAAGAGACTTGAGATTTTAAAAATTAGAAAACTAAAAAAACGGGGCACATCACAGTCTCGGAATTTTTCGGTTAAAAAATTTCGTGACTGTCAACTTTTAAAACATAAACTCTTTACACAGAATACATAAAAAATTTCAAAAATCGAAGATCAATACATCATTACGCAAATTTGCGTTGTGTTTACATTCGTGCCTACAACAATGATTTCGTGAAAAAGAACAATGCCTTATTCGATGCTATAAGCAACCACCTCGCTGGAATTCCAACGAGGTTAGTTCTCTGGCCGCGACAGGTGAGGCCACGTGTTGTTCGTGCAATCGTACTCGCCTAGATTCGAATTTAAAGACGTTCGTTATTCAATTCAAATACGCTAACGGACTAACGGGCCAGCTCGCAGGATTTCCGCCTCAGTGCGACGTTCGTTATTGTGTTCTAGAAGAATCGGGTTAGGAAAGGTCAGGTAGAGACGATCGCCCTGGAGCCGATCTGCGAGAAGACTCGCAGTTAAGTATCATTTTTCAGAGAAAGTATGGAAAGTATGTTTCTATAGTATACATCAAAAAGTAGAAAGCATTACATACATAATACAAAGAGCTATACATCCTGAGAAATGATAAATACATTTCAAAATAAAATACAAAATCAATCTGAATATTTTAGACACCGATGCGTTAAATATGATATACCATAATTAGATCAAAATAATAATATTTTTATACTTGTTATTTCTATAACAAGCTATAACGTTTGTATCTATACAATGCAAAATAAAATTTATCTGGAATATGTAGATCGTTCGATTGATTCTCGAATTGATTCTTACAGATAATAGAAGAACACGCGTGTCGAGTATTCAAAATCGCTCTGCAAGAACACCGTCTTCGCGATTTGCGAGTCACTCTTTATTTTGCTAGCGTATGATGAATGTAAGCCTTAAGGGCTACGGGAGCCCTATATTATATACGGGGTCTCCGTTGAAAGAAGATATATTTAGACCGGACCCTTGAAAGATCCTGTCTCGTCTCGGGACGCGTCGCGGAGCGAATTCATTTTGAATGCGCAGGATTTCTTCCTTACAGATCATATAAGGATGAAAGATTCGTAAAAATATATATACAAATGCATAGGATACCGTTGTATCAATGTATTATTTATTATCCTCGCAACAATCGAACGTGATTCAAAGAAGTAAATCGATTTGTCAAGTTCACCATTAAAGACAATTGCGCATATAAATGTAGTAAAAAAGCGCATTTTTTATGATTTCAAATAATGTATTTTAAGTAAGATTGATAATGAAGTCTTTTGATGTAAAAAAAGACGAAGATAAGACTTTACTACACTAAATTTTTAGATTAATTTTTTTATTCAAAATTTTAAAATTTTAAGAAAAAATAATTTCTTTATATATAAATTACTCCCTTCATTCTGTTAAAGAGTTTCTAGATTCTTTCCATCATTTTATTCTTTGATATAATTAATAATAAAAAAATTATTTTGCTACATTATAAATACAAACGTTAAGATTTAATATATGTATTTTTTTAATTGGTCGATTTTAATACATAATCATTGTAGAAACTTACCTCGCACCTAGATGTATCAAGTATCTCGACCTCCGTCGTGACATTGTCAATAGTGACGCTGTGTCGGTAGAGAAAATCTGCAACAAGTGGAAAATAACATATTTAATCGATTATAATAATGTTTTCAGTTCGATTATTATCGCTTCAAGAGCTTGTATAATTCGCGAGATAAATAAAAAAACAACATGATTTTTCTTGATCGACGTCATTTGGATGATACTCTTCGATCTCTTTGGAAAAGCGACATTTTCCCAAGGATAGAAAACGCGGCTAATGCGCGAAAGTGCCGTAGCAGTTAGTAACGACAATTCCAATTAGTTACGCTTACGCTGCTATGTCATTACGATCATTGACGATGACACGTGGCTTTCGCTGAAAATGTGATCGAAAAGATTCGGATAGTCACATATTAAGACTTGAATTTTTAAATCGTTACACGCTTAAATTATTCGCACACGTCATTCTAAAAAAATCTCATAACATTCATTATATATTTGAAATTTTAAATGTTTACATTTATATTAATTTTGATTTAATAAGTTCTTGAATTTCTAGGACTTTCGAAACGTTGGATTTTTAATTTCTTGTATTTCTAGAGTTTTACATATTTTAATATTTAAACTTTTTAATCTCAATAACATTTGTTGTATCTTAAATTTTTGAATGTTGAAACTTACACCTTCGATAGGACAGAGAAAAAAGGTAAGCTCATATTTCTCGGAGCTGATTAGAGCGCTTGAGGAGCACGCGTGCACTCAAGGAGAAGCAGAAGAGAAGATGCGGAAGCACGTCAAACACAATAGCCCTAACAGGGTAAGCACAATAAATAAGCGATGAATAAACTTATAAACACTTCGTAGTGTCGATAGAGTGGAACTGAAGGGGCGTAGGAATAGGCAAATAAGGATGCTCGTTATATTAGCGGTCGTCACGCTTGAGAAAGTTTTATTGTCGAACAATATTAATGGAGAAACGATTTGATCAAGCGTTGCGACAGAAAATTCATTGCATCCTCCTGTACATGGGAAATATCGGCGTGTGGAAAAAGAACTTCCAAGACCGCGAGACGTAATTTGAACTCTGCATACAAGACGCGAAAATTCTTTCTACGCTTATATATAGAAAACAAATCGAGCGATCTAGATAAACTAGATAGACTAGATAGAGATAACTAAGATTGAAAGATGAAATTTAACGAATGGAATTATTTCATAGATAAGGCGGACGTATGCGCAAGTGTCTAGAAATCTAATTGTAGTCCCATCTAAATACAGGAACAATTTGCATATCAGACGTTATGGAAAGTTAAATCTTTGATGAGAAACTTTGATAAAAGTACAAGATTTAATTTCTAAGAAATCGAAAGTATGAAGAGGTACAATAAAAGTGATAAGTTAACAAAAAAGAAAAGGGATTAACCGTGACACACTTTCGTCGCAACTGGAAATGTAACTGTCACCGATCGCGCGGATTCGGCTTTTGCCAGAGATCTCATCCATCTCCGGTACATGATCTATTGTCGATCTATCGAAGAAACGGGATGCACGATGTAATCTTCTCCGCGCACGGACAAAACGATTCCCATCCGCGCACGCGCGCGAGAGAATCGACAATACAACGAGACTCGCTTTCTAAATCATTGCCTGAATTTATTCCACGCAAGGAGAGATTTGCATTGTTAATCGAGATCAAAATAATAACAAGTACACTGCATCGTGGCGAGAGATGAAAAGGACCGATTATCTCCCAGAGTCCCGTAAAATGACGACGCCGCGCTCGTGTACGAATGCCTTGTAATCGAAATTGCCGGTAAAGAGATCATCCTCGATCTTCCTTCGAAAGATCAAATTTAAGTCGTGCAGTGGAAACCAATATAAAGTGGCTATTTCGAAAGTACCTTGCATGTTTACATGTCTAAATTTACGAGAAAGAAAAAGAGACAGATTTTTTGTAAAGCTTAAGAGAAATTCAGAGAGTGGAAATAGTTAGATCCTTAAAAACTTTCATATTTCTGTGAATTCTTCTGCCTTAATTATATATATATATATATATATAATTAGATATTTCTGTATTTTGATTAAAATATTTTACATTAATAATTCTATATTTTCGAATTTTTAAAATTTATTTCTTAAAATATTTATTATAAATTCTTAAGAAAATTAATTTTAAAATTATTTAATGTAATTAATTATTGTCTAATTACATAATTATCATCCGTCTTATTATTATCCAAAATATAATAAAAATTTGAAAATAACCTTTTTATTAATCACATTTTTCGAACAACCTTTAAATTTACAAAATAAATTAATTTTTATACGCTAAAAGAATTTTTCCACGTTTCGTTCACCTACGCAAACCAGCTGAAGGAAATCAATGGCCTCGCTTTCACCGTTTGAGGGCGTTTTCTTCGGAAAAGTGATTCTCCAACGATCGGGAACGAAAGTATGACGATAACCTCGCACGAAGTGTCGACGCATTTTCAATTCGTTTCACACAAGATGTGTCGAAAGAAAGGAAAGCAAAAAAGGAAGAGGAAGAGAAAGAGATGAGACAGAGAGAAAGAGAATGACGGAGCTGTTGCATATTGATTGCTTCGAATGCCTTGAGTTAATCAATTCCTTAAAAAAAAATACATAAAAATTCTTAATAAACAAAATTAAAGGCTCACTATTTCGATTTTCATAAATATGAAAATCCTATTATTAAAATCATAAAATTTTATACTATTACTACCAAGAAATTCTGCATGATATAATAAAAAAAATGTAAAAAAAGGAAAAATATTTTTTCTGACGAAGTCAACCGAAGTTTTTGTCCAATATTCGTTTATATACATATCTCTCTGGCACTTTTTAGAAATTATCTTATGCAAAACAGTCTGTATAATATCTTCAGACCCCTTACATGTCTACATCATTTTTTTATCTATCATTATTCTTATCATTTTTTATTGATCCTCAATGGATAGCAATCAGTTTCGTAGCGTCATCTTTGATTGAGCGATTATCCCCCTTTTTGATCGAGGGGGAATATATAGATTATCCGCTTCCTGGTTACATTCAAGAGTGATTATCCATCATTTTCCCAGGAAATTAATTAATATCGATGGTAGGAGAGAGCACTCGCGACAGCACCCTTCCACTCTCGGCATTATCGATCGCAACATTATAGATCGATTGGAATCAAATTGATTCTGAGTACCAGTTATACACGAGAGAAATTCGATAAATCGATGATTGCACTATTGTACCGGGAAGCTTTCCGTACACTATATTAATGTGAATGCACTTGTAAAAAAAGTAAGAATGAAAAACTTGGCGTGCAAATTGACTTATAAGTTTTCTTGTAAATCTTCTTTCCGAGGACTTTTATATTTCAAGATGCTACATTTTCCCAAACTTAATTCAGAAGTAATTAATCATCCAATTTAAATATTTAAATGAAAGATAGGCCAACATAGGCCATAAACATCTGTACAAAACATCGAAAGAAAAAAGTATGTAGAACTGAAATATCTGATGTGGTAATTTTAACCACTCTTGTGGGTCTTAGGTTAACGTAGAAAAAGTTAAATCCTTTTCCAAAAAGAATGCGTAATCTTGAATATGGATAAAATCCATTCAGGCAGTGGGTGTTATCTGCAATTTATTCTAATCAAATATAAATTTATGTATTTTACATAATTATATTTGCTTCAAGCACATCGGTTATCTTCACGATAATGTCCCTACAGCTATCGGGATTGCGATAAAATGGCGTGGCACTCGCCAGTGGAGGATGTACAGCCGGCTCGGCCATAGAGGTGTTACAAAAATACGAGCGACCGGCTGGTTCAGGGTTAAGGGGACAATACTTCACGGTGAATTTTTCCAGAAGGCTCGGATATCCGCGAAACTCGCCGTCATAGCTTATACGTCCGCGGGTGTGCACGGCAATTATTACGGCGAAGTAGCCTGCATGAGTTATGGGAGAGATCTGCATTCTGCAGACTCTCCCTATAGGCTCTATTTCATATCGAGTGTTTAAATCTCCGCCCTCCACGGGTCCAGCCGGTGTCTGTTGCGGTCTCTCTTTCTCTTTCTCTGTATCTTTCTCCCTCTATACCCCGCTGCTACCCTACCCCCTTATCTCGTGTATTTCTGTGATCGTTAGAATGCCCTCGGGACGTCGCTCGCGAGGCGCCATGATTAAGATTTTTCATTGGTACCCTTGAATTAGAGTCCGGTTTCGAGCACGAGAATATTTCACAGCAGATTTTTCCGTCGCAGCCCCCGCTGGAACACGCGAGAGGCACCGATCAAGATTTAGATTCGCGTTTTGTACTACGGGGTGAGCATTCTGCGCGCGAGTCGGAGTTGCCCCCCGCCTCCCGTCCCCCAGGAGATAAGTCGATAGCAAGCGAGAAAGGAACTTAGATATGAACTGGACATTTATCCAGAATATGACGCCTCGAAATTAGCAACGAATGAACGCAATCATTCACGCTTCACATTGGCAATTATCTTGAGGAGAAAAAAAAAGAGATAATGAAGAAACACTTACCACTGGTCGAGCTGTACTCGCCGATGTATCGCCTCGTCAAGTACCGCACAACCACGGCTGCAACAGAAAGAGGAAAAAGAAATTGATTAACTTCAAAAACGAATCTCACGAATAATTGTAGTGAGTCTGATGATACATCTGTGGAATCGTAATTACAAGTAATAATGTAAGAAGACATATTTTCGTTCTCTAGCTAGAAGGACGCGCGCGCCTATATGCGCAGGTGTTGAAACGCCATTAACTTATTTTCAATGTTAATAAAGAAACCATAAATATTCGTGGGGAACGAGTTTTCCTGTGGATTGTCGATAAATTTCTTGCGTCATAAATTCCGTTTCGTTGCGGCGCAAAAGGCGGCTTAAGATTCAACATACTGACGACGTTTCTGGCATCGTCGTCGTTGTCGTCGTTCAAACCTCGCAAGACTTATTGTAGCAGAGTACATAGATTCATGCCGCTCTGTATTCGTAGGTATATACTGTTTATATAAATCTATCGTCGAGTTCAGCCCAACGACAATGACGACGACGGGAGGGAAGAGGAAATATCGCGAATAGAAAAAGAGGAGAGGAGAGGTAAAGACACGAGCAAGGAACAGAATATAGAACTTCATTCGTGAGCTATTTGCTGAGATGAGAGATACGAGTGCATATCTTCGAAATATTTCCGTGCAGCTGGACGACGATTTATTTTCAACGGCGATTCAACGTACGCTTGCGGAAAGTCGATGGACCGGCGAGAACTGATCCCTCATAACTGATCCTTTCAAAGAGAAGGAAACTCTAATTTATTAAAAGATATAAATTATAATTATATATATAGCGTACCAATTGGGCAAGTATTTTATATTGCGTTTTATTAAAAAAATTAGATATCCGATAAATAAATACGTCTATAATATCTATGAAAAACAAATTCACATGTACTCTGTTTTTATTTTATACATAAAAACCAAATTATTAATACAAAAAAAATTAACACGTTGCTATAGTAATTAGCATTTTGCATTTAAATATATATCTCTAAAAATAAGAAATTTTATAAAAACTGTATTTTCAACAGTCATCATACAAAAACATCAGCGGATCATTATTGTGCCAAGCAATTCGATAATCGAATGAAGACCCATTCTCCCTTGGAGATGACTGTCATCAAATCGAGGCGATGTCACGCGTAATCCTATACAGGCCGCGCGAACCGAAGTAATTGATGTGGACACGAGAATGTTGCTCGTAACGCCTAATAGTTCCGAGAGTAATCTGTGCCAAGCGCCCGGGTCTGATGAAAGCACGCTCTTCACTGCACTCAAATCCAAACGCGAGGGAAACCTGACACTCGTGCCAGATACAAAGTGTTTATAATAAAATTCTTATCTTTCGTAGAATCAACTTGGGCGAATGATGACAATATAGTGGGCCTAATGCAGCCATCTTATAAACGATAAGAAATAACTAATAGCTCATGCAGAATGCAAAACATTACTGTAGATAACAATTATTAAAAATATTCCAACATAAAATTAAAAAATCGAAAAAATAGGTCGACCACAGTGGTACTATTAAATGGTGAAATTTCAAAAAGCCTCAGTCAAAATCTTCAAGGAAGTAATATTTTAACCGATAGCACACAAGTGATCACGTCCAAAATTAAGAAAAAAAAAGAGAAAAGCGAAAACTAGGCAGGTAGAAGAACGAATAGGAAGAAAAGAATGACGAAGAATAAGAAGAGAGAAGCCGATTAAGTCACCTGCGGAGAATTGTGTGTAATGTGGAAGATGCAACGGTACGAGCAAAACGCAACCATTCGCGGTGCCATTCGCCGACGTGCGATGGTTGCCAGCGCGGGGTTCTATAGATAGATCGTTGGAGGATAAGCCGCTTGGTGGACGTAAGAAAATAGTAATTACGGTCACGATCGCTTTGAATGGGAGGGAGGGGAGAGGGGGAGGGAGAGAGGGGGGAGGGAACGAGATGGAGACAGATGACAAAAAAAGATCGGGATGATGCGACGCGTTGATCAATCAAGTGCATCCTCTTGTCTCGTTGAAATTTTCTGTCTATCCCAAACATTCAACACTATTTTTTATTGAAACAAATTTCGTTCAGACGCATCTTGGCGTGTTAATTTTATATTTCGTATAGGAAGTATCAAATTTTCTGTAATTTTTTTAGTTGCTCCAACATAATTTTTAACAATAACAATTTTATACAATAAAAAATGAAATTTATTTATTACATTAGGAAAAGAAAGAAAAGTAATGTACAATAATATTTGTTGAAAAACAAATTTTCTTTAAAAAATAACGGGATATGTGATTTTTCTAAAAAAACGAAAAATTAAATTGTAATTTAATCGTATAATGTAGAAAATTCTATATTTAAAATATCAAAAAAATAATAAAAGTGTCAAATTGATATCTCGCAGAAAAGAAACCCGTTGAACCACGAGCTATTATTCTGTCCGCTTTTCTTGTGACACGGCAATAAAGCAAGTCGTTTAGACCAAATGAATTTATGAACACGTCTGGGCTTGAATAGCGGACCTCCAATTGCCTCTTCAATAAGCGTTAACGCAGATAAATGGCTGTAGATAACAATCTTGCATTTCTTGCGTGACCATAATTCTTTTCATGATTCCTCACTGTCAGCAGTTTTTGCGAAATCTACTTGTCGTTGAAGAATTCTGCAATTTACTAGAAAATATCCGATTCAAATGTTATACATTACTGGTATCTATTTTTGCGAGAATTAAGCTCCTATTACATAGTTAACGCTTAAACGCCTTTTCGGTATACTCGGCTTTCATTTTCCAATGTTTTTTCAATACTTTTTCCATCGCTTATCTTTTTTTTCAATAAAACTTTTTTTTAAATTAATAAAGATACATTTACTTGCTACCGTTATATTTCTTAGTATCTAATATTTCAATTGAAAACAAATTGTTCATTTTTATGAAGGTTATAAGCGATTGAATTGGGTTGGATGTGGTACACCCAAGTGTTCCTGCACGGAGAGAATTTGGTTTTAAAATTTACCCCGAAAATATGGTAGTTGTGGTACGATACAATATTTTTACCATGTACTTCAGTAAAATTGATCAAACTTATTTTATACTTTATTGTAATTTTATTAATGAATGAGAGAAATTATATTAAAATTCTTGAAAATATATTGTTGTCCTGAAAATATGATAGTCCCACGACTATCATATTTTCATGGTAAATTCTAAGAAAAAATTCTCTCCGTGTGTGTGGCGTATAAAGATTAATACGTGATAACAAATTCCAAATTTCCAAAATTTTCGTTTCCTTTATTATAGAAGAGTTACGGTTATTTTGCGTGTACACGGGATTACCGCGTATATCAGGGAAAGGTACGATAATAGGAGGAAGAAATGTTACCGCATAAATTTGGAATTCAAAATCGAATACCGCGGGCAACAGAACGGATGTATCGGATGTCCAGATCTTACAACCTGCTGCAACCGTGCGGGATTTTTCATGGCAATCCCTTTCCCCTCGGTCACGCAGAATGATATCCGATAACGTCCACGGAGGTCCTTATTATACCCAGCGGGGTCTCACAAGGGACTTTTAAGGATTCGCTCCCGTCGAGATATCCCTCTTTCCATCGCCGCCACCGCGTGAGAATACGTTTTTGCCGCAAAAAGTAGAACAGACGACATTGTCGCGTGTTTTACAGCAATCAAGATCGTACATTGCAGTGAAACGTGCAAATGCAGAAGTAGCGAATCGTAATTAAATAAATATGTTCCCGAAGAAAAAATGCAATAATCTCGACAGAAAACGGCAATTTGTGATATTCCGAGAACATGACGATGCCATCAGGCAACACAACTTTCTATTCGAAGATACGAAAATCTCGACTGAAGAATTTCAGGTATTCGATATTACACACAAGATATAACAACATCTTAAAAAGATATATAATTGACAGTATTAGAAAGACGCAATTTCAAAAATAATGGCAACTCGACAATAGCCGTGAAATATCCAGAAAAATATTTATTTTATAACTGTTAGAAGTTTTCTTCGTTCAGATAGAATTATTCTCGTAGATCTGAGACTGGTATTCATAATCGGTTCTTATATTCAGGATGCACCTTAAGCACAAAGATGTCATGAAACGATCACAGAGCCGTATTAGCATCATAAAATATTACTTAAGATGATTTTTAAAATAAGAACCGACTATGAATATCAGCTCTTAAAAGTGTAATTCAATCAGCACGAAGAAAACTTCCAACAGTTGCAAAATAAACATTTTACTCGGAACGTAGCCAATGAGATGGTTTGTGGATGATTGGTTGATTCCAGTAACTTAATAATATGAAGATGCAAAATTGGTGAGCAAAGGAAGAGAAGAGTCATGTACGAGATCGGACGAGATCAGAATAAAACGAAGAGCGCGCCTTTATTAAGGTGGCCGGTCCTAGCGGTTATTAATAGGATTTATTCCGAGGTCGGCGAACCGCCTTATCGCCCGTTCGTTTGCTCGCTTTGTATGCGTCGCGCGACTGTCGGGTTAACTAATGCAACGTATTATTCCACGGACTATGCGTATTCATCTTAACGGCACTTTCATTCAGTGCGTCGCGTCGATGCGCTATTAGACAACGAGCAGAAATTACGCCGCACGACGACGCGATATTAGTATCGTCCATCATAATGAACGTCCTTCCGACGTGATTCAATATTTCACGACATTGCGCCATAATCGACCTGCGCATCTTTTTTTCGCCGCTTATCGTTCGCCGCCGAATGGATATCGTTTTCGACACGATAGGTTTGTTCACGTCGTATGCTCCAACATGTTCCAATATGCTCCTAGCATAGCTCTTACTCACTCCAACGCGCTTGATAGAGTGAATAGGAGCTATGGTAGGAGCATGTTGGAGCATGTTGGAGCTTGCGACGCGAACAAACCTGATGTGTTCCGATCACATCATGTTCTCATATATAGGAAATCAACATTGCTTCCGCAGATGTATTTTCCGTTGTCCGTTTTAACGCGATTCGATTTAATTTCGCGTGCAAGACCTTTTCGTAGATCACAAAACAATAACAAAGCGACATTGCACAATTGGATTAGAATTTCTTGCAAAATCTCAAGCAAATAAATTTTATACTAAATTAATCCTCCCTGAAATCTAGGTTTTTTTTTGTATAAGTGAAATTTCACTTATATTTCTCTGAAATAAAAGAGGGCACTAAAAATATCTTATTAATAATGGAGTCTTATGTAATAGAGATGTTGAAAAGTAACCCTTAATTTTTTTAATACTTTTTTGCAAACCTAAAACAGTAAAAAAACTTGAACTAAATAAAAAACTCAGACTGCAGACGAAGAGTTGACTTATTGTTAGTAATTAGAATTAATTTAGTTAATTATACTTATAACAGAATTAAGTTTAGTTAATCGTGATTTTTTTTATTAGAATTTTGTGACTTTGATAATAGTGTTGATGAAAATAAATGAGAATTACTTTTACATCAGAATGAAGCAAAAAATCGAAAGACAGAAAAAAAGATTCACCTGATTTACCGACTCTGGGGCCGCCGAGGACGACCACCTTGATCCTGTTTACGTTTGTCATCAGCTGCGTGGGCTAAGTGTCATTCGGACTGATTTGGCATCACACATTGCCTCCGCAGCGAATGCACCAATTACATCACTTTGCACTTTACCGCCGTACTCATATTCTCGGCCCTCGGCAGGACACTGACATTCACTCGCGCGCACAAAAAGGGCTGATGTCCTTTCTCGAGCACACGCGACACTCGCCAACACTCTTACGAAATTAATTATTATAACGAACAGTCAATCATCTGCTCGAGTCATCATTGCTCAATTTCGTAGCGGTATAATTATCAATCGTTAATTAATCTCTCGTGCACTTCATTAAATTCTCTTTCGTATACACGCAAAAGAGAAAGAAAGAGATTGCAAAGAAAACGAACGGATCTTATTCTAGTGTTTCAGAAAAATTATATATAGAATGAATAGAAAATTGATAATTATAGAGCAGTGTTAAAGCACAAGAACATTATTTCAAAAAGAAACAGCGAAAACTCTTCTCCTCTCGCTCTCGTTCTTCGCCTCGATCAGGTATTTAATCGGCGGTTATCTATTAATCATCGGCTGAAGTCGTCACTGCTTAGATACGGAGCTATTAATGGCAGCGTTAATTAGAACCTTCCCTGCTAATTCCTGGCGACTCGGAGGAAACCGTGGCGACGATCGATTAACAGGCAGCCGATATTGGTCCCACGTGTCGTTTTCTACCTGATGAACGAGCGTAACCACGATTACGAGTCTCCGCCTGGCACGTCGAACGCGATTCTTCCTTCGCGCGGGATCCTCGATAAAGCCGCGTGTTGAGTAACACAGCCCCCTTTTCCAGCCGCGCGACGACACGTCGATCTTGCACAACTCTTGCGACTCACTGCGGAGCTCCGAATCGAGCGCGATCGAGCTCCTTTCTCAAGATGACAGCCGAGATTACAATCTCGCGTCCTTCGTCAAGAAATCACAATCTGCCCTCTCGTCGAGCACGTTTATTAGCAGCAACGACCGCCGTGTTATCTTATCACGATTTCTCTTTAAAGATGACAAATTTCACATGACGCTTTGTTTGTTTTCCTCTCGTCCTTTTCTCTCTCCACCAGTAAGACTCTTAGTCTCTCGGACAATTTCTGTACTCGGAAAATCTTTGTTCTTCAACCGTTAAATGATTGTATGTATTAATCAAATAAATCGTTCCCTTTGCTTGTCTCTTATCCGAACGACTAGTACCACTTACGATATTTAGTTTTACAAGCCAAGAATTTCAGCTAATCCGCAATTCTCTCTTTCTGTTTTCTTTTTCTCAAGTGTCAATGCATTATTTAGCGTTACTAATTAATTTTACTCCAGCGTCTCTTTATCGCGTAAAAATATGAAGAAAGCGCTTCCTCTTCGATTTCCTTTAAATTCCTGCGTTCTTCCTTTCCGATCCTTACACTGAACCTCGAACTCGATAGCTCGATTCGGAATTACGGAATCGATCTCCTCCTTTTTCGCACCTTCGAGAGCAAGGGTTGGTGGTTTCCGAACGAGCCTAGTTCGCTCGTTCGCTCACTCGTCCCGCAGCGGCCGACGCTGCGCTGCGAATAACAACACAAGCAGCGATTCAAGAAATGCCGTCTCTCTGGTTCCATTTATAACGGGTCGTCGGCCTTCCTCCGCGTCTTCTAGCTTGGCGCCGCCGACACGTCGGCGATTACGAAAAAAGGACAGGCACGCACGCACGTATGCACGCATACTGATGCATACGCGCGCGCATTCGCTTATCGCTCGCGCGCGAAAACGACGGCAGACGACGACCGCGAGAAAAGTAGGATGTATTCATCCCCCGCAGCGACACGCAACTCTTTTTTTTTTTTTTTTTTGCTGAATACCGTCAGCTAATTTTAACATTTCGAGAGAAATGGCGGGTTTAATTTTGAATGAGAGATTAAGTCATTTCGGAGCATAATTGTCGCCATAAAATATTACGGCATTTTTATTCTTTTCTCCGCCTACGTGACAGTGTTAAGCAATAACTCTCGCAAAGAAAGAAAACTGTTGTAAAAATAACTTCTCAAAATTTACGATTTTGCAATCAAGGTATTTTTAATCGATGCCGTTGGTATGGCAAGAAATCTCCACAGATACTCTACGTTACGTAATTAGAATAAAATATCTGAGCAATAATTAATATGATAAACAAGCAAATAATATAACGGGAAAGAGCAACTGAGAGGAAAACGAGAAAGCAATCAACATAGCAGGAAAATATTTAATGATAAAACACAATGACGAAGTAGTAAACATACCATATAATGGCGAAAAATATGACAAATGTAGTAACGGAGAAATAAAGCAAGTTTTTTTAATTCATGAATCAATAGCATTATACGAAAATGCAATTTTGCTCCGTGAAAGCATTGGCGCATGATGCGATTGATCGATAGATGAATTAAAAAAATAATAAGCGAGGTGATGAAACACGCGCAAAAAATCCAACTTTTTACGCACTGAAATTCGCAAGTCGTCACTCGTCTCCGATTCTTGCCTCTACTACGCTTTAAATGATACCTAGATTAGATAACGCGTCCCGTATCACGTATTAAACTTCATTATCTTTCAGGGCGCATTGCGACGATATTATTCATGAGAAATTCTTTTACCGCGACCTTATCGTCACAATGTTGAACAACAAAGCACAACCGTAAATTGCGACACGTATTAAATTAAATCAAATGTGAATGAAATAAAATCATAATTCAGATCATACGTTTTTAAAATAATAATATACCTTTTATAATTATCTACTTTAATTATTTATTTAATAATAAATTTTTGATTATATCCATTATATAAGACTTCCATTACACGGACACTAATAACAGAAACGCGGTCAAAGTAAAGTCAAGAATGAATGAGTCATAAATAAATTTTCATTAAAAAATCCAGCAAATGCAAGAACGATTCATCAAAAAACGTGATTATGACACGTTTGACCGATATAAATGTTTATTGATCGTGATACAGTATATTCCTGAACAAATACTAATTCAGCGTTTTCAAAGAGACAACAAATGTGAAATCGATAATACAATAAGAATCACCCATGCGCCACGAGTAAATTTTGAAAAATGCACTCTATATCTACTATAAAATAATTACGTGCCAAAAAAATTGCTTTTGCAAGATTATCTCGTTCCACTCTTCAAAATAAACCAAATTGAATCAAGTTAAACATATCAAATCAAATTAAATCAAATCTGTTATATCTCGAATAATGTCAAACGAAGAAAAATTACGTTTATCAAAGAAAATGATATGGGCAAGAATATAGTCTCGAGTGATTGATTCAATCGAATATTTATTTCGCAGTCATACGATTGATTAGATCCTTTACTTTTGTCTTTATCCACCTACTTAAATTTCGGCATGTGTCACAAATGTTTCTGCTCATCGTCTGCGTAAGTGAGAAATCAACTCGTTGCTCGCGATAGAGGAGCGTAATCGGAAACCGAGGTATCGGTTTCTTCGCACGTAGCAAGTCTACGACGTGTAAATACTAGATGCGCAGATGCGCCACTTGTTTATTTAATAAGATCGATTTTCTTCGGAGAATTCTTGTGCGATGTGCCGTACGACGATTCTATTTTCGCGCGTCTTTCGAAAATTCGACCAATCTGCTCCAATCTTTGACAAAAATTGTAATAAAATAAATTGTACCTATCAGTTTTCCGTATTCCAGCAAAACCGACAATCGGTTAAGAATTAATCGGTGAAAATTAATCACGATGAGAATTAATCAACACTGGAAGAATCGATAATTGCGTTACTCGTGTCGAAATATAGGCACATGCGATTTCAATTAACGTACGCGAGGTTCCTGTATAAATTAATTCTATCGATATCAACAGCGATCGCGAGTCGCGTTAATCGCATCTAGGAAGGCCGATGACCCGTGGATTAAATAATACATTTCTCCACTTGCCGAGCGTTCCACCAAGATATTTCAGCGAATTGAACGCCGGCGCATATCCGATATTAATTAAGTCACGGTTACGAGCATTAATAAGGAAATTAACTTTTATAATTAACTTTAGAGATCAATTGCTGACCTTTAAGCCCTGACAAAGGCGAACCGAAATCTCGTGATGAATCTTTCCAAGAGGAATAATTACCTGATATCCTAACAGTTACACTTGCACAATTACGATTGGAGCTTGGCAGTTAGAATTCAGCAATCAAAAATCGATTAAGACTCGCCGGTCACAGCTCGATATCGCTGTGGTAGATCAACCCGGCGGTAAATGTTTAGAAACCCGAGAACGGCACTGAAAGCTGAACTCTCCTAATACATCGAGCACCACTCTGCGATTATTTCAAGATTACGTCTCGATACTCGAGGATTCGTGGGTCCACAACTTGACGGTCGGAGATCGCACTTAGCAAGTTCGACAATGACGATTGCCGAGAAATGCGTGATTCTTGAAACACGTAAGGAACACGTGAACTCCAACGAGTCCTGATGTGTAATTTCCTGGAGTAGTATCGCGTTCGCGAATTTCGGACGATCGCACCGCACAGCGTAGCAGACGGGCCGTGGCACTTGACGTGAGGAGAAGGAACGCGCGAGAGAGAGAGTAAAAATACGCGGCACAACTCGCAGCACTCTCCACTCTAAGCGAGCGCTCGCCGGCGAATGCGCGGCGTTCGCGATCGCCTCGTCTAATATGCACTTGGCTGTGCTCGCTCACCGGGACCGGCACGGCGCGGCGGCGGCGGCGGCGACCCGACGACCACAACCACCACGACGACGACAACAACGACCAAACCACGACGACTACACGCCTCTTTCATTCGCCGCGTACTGCTGCACTTCGCGTTGCGTCGCGTCGCGTTACGATGAGGTTGCGAGCCGACTGCCGTGTTAACAGGCAAGCGTGCGCGTGTACGCGCGAGAGGAGGAGGAGGTTGTATCGGAAAAGGGGAGAATACTCCTCTCGGGCACGGCGCCGACGAAGGTGGAAATGCGAGTTTATCCTCGTTAGACGCGTTGCTGTATACTTCACCGTGTGGTCGTTCTTCACAGGATTGTAATACAAATAGATATGCGTAGAGGAGAAGGTGGTATTATGTGGCCAGTGAATATATTGTTGGCCTCCCTTAATATCTCCGCTATTATATAACGAATCCTAATGATTATTTATGGAATTATTTATTCAGTAGCTCGCCGAAATACCGTGACGCTAATATACCAATACTCAATAGCCAGTTATTATAACGCATTTTTACTTTCAAGTATTTCGAAACGTTTCTGAGGTACATTTTAGCATTTAATTACATCTATTTCCCCGCATTTTTCTTAAATTTGAACGTATTACACGAATATGTGTATTGTTTGCTATTTAACATTTTATTTGACTGTATATATTTTGAGTTATGCAAATTTAAACATTAGCATGACATTTTGCTAATGTGGCCCTCATATGGATATTGATTACTCACGGCCTCTTTTTTGAGGTTTTCATATCAAAATAATTATTTGATAATCGATTGTAGCTCTGTTAGTCTATAGTTTATGTTAGTTACGTGTACTATTTTTAGTACTGACAATGAGCATCTTATATGCAGAAATTATGTGAATGTATATACATTTATTTGCATACATTTTTAAATGTTTTATTTTTTTGTTAATTCTATATATGTATATATGACCAAATACTGTTTCCTAAATAGAACTAATTTTTTAAGACTATTTTTATGGTAGGCCACATTACCACCCATATTTTTCTTCGAGTCATTATATAATGCCGCCACATTTTTATTAATAGTGTCTTAAATAATAAACATTTCGTAACTTTGACTCCAGAATCGATTCAACAACATTTTAACGAATGTAATTGTCAAGTTTTAAACTTAAATATTAATTATTAACTAAGTTATTGTGTAAAATATAACTGGGGTGCCATAATACCACCTTCTCCTCTACTGTAACTTCTTTCATATGATTGCAAAATTTTAGGGGCTTTTGCTGAAGTGTCTAAAAATTCAGCTAGATACGCGTTTGAAAATAATATTTTTTAGACCATCAAAAATAATTATGTAAAGCACTCAAACTAATTACTAAATACTAATTACTTATAATCAAATAGTATGGAACATACGATAGTAAATCAAGAGCTGCATCTTCATCGAACGAAAACAAGATGAGATTACGTTTATTTTTCGAGATTTTTATATGCAAGTTTATGTACGTAAATATCTTTCTAGAATGGCCGTTGATTATTATTTTTTTGTGACCATTAAAATCGTAATTTTTTAAACTATAATCTCGTTTTTGAGAAAAGTCTATTGTAAGATTTATGTGCAATTAGTCAAAGAAGCGTCTGCGAGCCTTATTTATCACTAAGTTATATGTGAAAAGTTACATTTACAATATTTTTTTTTCTCGCTTATTTCATCGTTAATCTACCGTAGAATTTTGCACACATCAATTTTAGTACTTCAACTTCATTATATAAAAAAATTAGACATTTCTATGGTAACATTGGTAACTCGATTTATTAAAAAAATCACCTTAAATATTTTACATAATTATTTTGACGATTAATATCAGTAAATTTGGTAAAAGCCTTTAAGAGCCAACACAGGTTATATGTATATATATGAATATGCTTTATTAAAATATTTTGATGATCTAATAAAATTGTTTCCAAATCTGTGTCCATACCTACATTTTTAAATATTTCAGCAAAACTGTTCTTTCCGTGTAAAAATGCGTCGACAGAGAGGTGAGATAAGTGCATTTTTTTTTAAGAATTTTTGAGAATCTTATTCGGCGAATGTAAAGCAAATAATCTAGCAAAAGCTCTAATAGATAAAGCGAAAATTTTTTGCGAAAATTTAAATAAATTTGATCCTAATATTTGAGAAAAGATTTTTAAGATTCGAAGAATTCTTCGTGAAACTTTGTGTATCTCAGGTATTATTGATCGTTACGAAGGAAGGTCCGAATTGCGCAGAAAATCAACAACTCGTGTATCCGTGGTAACTTGATGAATCAAAAGGGTGCGTCAGCGAAGACAACCATCAGCGACGTCAGTCACGAGATCAGAGTAGTAATTCGAGGTAATTGGTATGCACTCTTGAAGAATCCAAAAAATCCGGTTCGATCTCTACTCAACCGCTACTCAACCATTGCCTTTGCCAAACGTGTGGATCCTAGAAGGTAACCTATTTGCAGTGTAATCTTCGGATCGTTCTCCCCATCTTTGCATTCGTTATCATGGGCAACGAAAAGGAGGCGGATATAATTAGCGTCGCGGAAAGACCTGAGAAAAAAACTCTGCTCGAGAGATACAACATACCGGTGGAAAATATCTCGTACGAATTCATATCGCAATGCACCGATGGGAGAACACTGGAGCGAATCGTTCTCATCTTACGGTGAGTTCCTTTAGACGCCGGAAACTCCAGACGAGCGAAGAACCAACGTTCGTGTTGACGCTAATTGATTACTATCTCGTTTATTACTATTTTATCTTGCGCTCTGACGCGTTGAAAAATTTTCTATACGTCTGCCAATCAGGTTTGCAAAGGCTGGCGTATTTCGAAAACCCTCTTTATGCAAAATATTATTAATACCTTAACGCTTCCTATTTTGCGTATCTCTCGACTAATCCTTGGTACATTATGATAATTATAGTACATACTGACAATTTTTAATCTTTGCGCTAATCATCAGCGAGATTTGCAACCATACTGCTTAAAATGCCATTAAACCTGTTATTTTCCGGCATGTTTATTAACGATTCGTCATAAACTTTACATGCGGTTTTAATACTAGTTCTGGAGAAGAGGGAGAGTATCCAGATTTGACGAAGCACGCGGAGGAGCGTCTCGCTAGGATTAGACCGACGAGCGCTCTTTTGAGGAAGGCGGAGCCAGTTTTGAGGCGAAATATGTTAAATGCGAACGAACGGCAGGAAATCGACGACGACATCAGCAATTGGACGTGCGAGATGCAATTTCGTGAGAAAGATTTAGACGAAGGAAAAACTATCCTTACCAACGAACCACAGCCAGAAATTCGACAGATGAAAACGAATACTACAAAAGTATATCAATATAATAATCAAAGTACAGAGATACACATTTTGTTAAAATGTCTTAAGTGTCTCTTGCAGCTCTGTGAAGCTGGTATCCTTAAATGCGAATTTTGTCAAAATTCGCATTTAGGAGTGTCAGCTTCACAGAGTTGTTTCTTGCTTTAAAATTGCAATAATTTGAAATATTATGCCTCTTCAAATTCGTATCTTATGGTATATATTATTATATATATTTTTATATTAGTCAATTAATTAATTCTTAAAGTCAAAGTCAATTAATTATTTCTCAAATTGCAAGAAATTATTGATTGGTACAAAACTGAACTTAGTAAACTTCTATTTATTATACTTACTTATAGAAAAAATTAATGTATAAAAATTGTTTAATGGCTTAATTCATATGTCGTGTTTTAAGGCTAAAAAGTCGAAGATCAACGAGAAAAAATGCAAACCCAAACGAATTGCCTCGTGTGATTATGAGGCTTGGGATAAATACGACATTGACACAGAAATAAACAGGATAGACCTGCAAGACGAGCAACGACAGGCCGAAATGAAGAGAATCCAGGAACAGCGAAAAGAACTGGATAAAATGAATAAAATGGCACATAAAACGGCAGTTGATAAACGTATGTTCATAAAGTAATGTCTTTAAAATATCACGATGGTTAATTAAGAAAGTAAAGAGCTGTCTGACTACAAATTCACAGAGTGCCCCAGACATTTCGTACATTTCGTTTCTCTCATTAATTTTCATAGAATTTATAATCTTGATCTCCCATTAATTTTAATCAAAATTGAATCCTGATCCCTCTTAAATTAGATTTACTAAATCTCCTAATCTACTGTTAGTTTCATTAACTGGTACGGAAATTAACGTAATGGCGGAACAAGAAAGAGAAAAAGGGAATGAAGCCTTCAGAGCGGCTGATTACGGGGAAGCTCTTCGGCATTACAACGCTAGCATCGACATAGACTCGAATCTAAATGCTTACAACAATCGTGCTATGACATGTAAGATAGCTCATTCTTTTGCTTTTTTCATTCTGATTACAGTGAATAATCATATACGATTATACGACAAAACAGTTAAAGATATTCGAATTCTTATTTTTTTTTTACGAAATGTAAGTCTTGAATAAATTATTCAAGATGAATCATTTAAAATGATAAAAAAAGTTAAATTGAAAAATTAAAGATCATATTATTATTATTATTACTAGCAAAAGTAGGATAAATATCTTTCAAATAATCAACTACTTTAACTAAAATGTTAAATATTGACAGACTCCTTTAATTAACAAAACAAATAAGAAAAGTAGGATAGTATTTTGTGCTGTTTCAATTCAAAATTCGTAAAAATATCGCAAAATTTTGTGTTGCATAATAAGATCCCATTGAGCCATATATTGCGTTCAGTTATAAAGCTGCAGCGTTACGAGGACGCGCTTAACGACTGCAACACGGTACTCACTATGGATTACAGAAATATCAAAGCGCTCCTTCGTCGGGCATTATCTCTGGAGCATCTAGAAAAACCGCACGAGGTATAAAAATTGCACACATAATATTCATATTGATTTATAATAATTATTCTATACATAAATCGTAAACGCAAAACGTAGTTCGCAACACTTGTCGCAACAGCCAATCAGAAAGAGTCAATGGTATCATTAATACTTTTTATATGTTATCACAACAAGCGTTACGAACTATATTTTGCGTTTGCGACTTATGTAGAATGATCTTAAGTAATATTTCGTAAATCTCGTGTACAATTAACTAATATATTATTTTATACAGTCTTTGGCTGATTACGAAGCTGTTTTAAAATTGGAGCCAACTAATAAAACAGCAATATCCTGTGTAAACAAATTGAGAAAGCCATGCGAGTCGAGGAAAATAAGGTAGAAATTCAATTTTTAATTTCAGTACTACGATGATAATAAATGATCCAGTATCAACTTTTATCGAACGAATTTGAATTAATAAATTTTAAAGTCTCAAAGTATTATTATTATAACAGTCCCAAATTATTATTATTATAACACTTATTATTATTATTGTACTTATTTATATTATAATACTTATTTGTAACTGCAGTTAGAATAACGACAATTCATAAAAAGACGTAATCATTATGATTAATATGTGATTAATAGATGTGGTCTATATTAACTGTAGCAATAAATTATAACTATTATAACAGGATGAAGATCGAAGAAAATATGAACGATGACGAAAACAAGAGCAAGTATATAAAAACGAAGAGCACTGTGAAAGCAAACAGCATCGAATGTCCGAAACTGCGTGTTAACAGCGATATATGTTATTGCGACAGAGCGCCAGGCCCGTCGCGAAGTATTGCAACGAAACCGCATTTAAAAGCGAGTTACTGCGTGGAAATTAAGAGCAACAAAGCGACGGCAGTAGCAGCAGCAGTAGCGGATATCGCAGCAAATAAAAGCAACGAGAAAACAACACGCGACTCATCGAGCGGTGATAAATTATCACCTGTTGCGAGGGATTTCGGTGCCAAAAATAAAACGACGAGATCGCAAGACGCCAGGAACGACGATATTTTCATGATTTCGCGCGAGTCATTTCCCGGACCGCGTGGTGCAAAGGGTAGATTGGAGAAGTCTATCTTTTCGTGCGTGTCGTCGCCTATGAGTAAAACGAAGCCATCCACGGTTATTATTGAAGAGCTTCCGAGCGACGAAGCGTACGAGAAACCGATGGAACCTGCCGACTCCACTAAAGAGAAGAGGGAAGCAAAGAAAGGAACGAGTCTGGTAGAAGAAAAAAATGCCTCAACAAAGAAATCATGTACGAATAAAAATAAGGAATCAATCTTCCTCGAAAAAGAAAGCAAGACTGAAACAAATTCAAAGCCCAGCCAAATTCAGGCTGATAAGAGATATGAGAAATCAAAAATAACTAGCGATTATAACGAAGCAAGGATGGAAATAAAGAAAAAGACAAAAGAGAAGAGAGATATACTGTTAAACCAAAAATCAAGTATAGACAAGAACAAAAAGCTAACTCTTGAAAAGGAAGGCAAGACTAAAGCGAGTATATCAAACAAAATTATTACTAACGAGTATCAAATAGAAAGCAAGTTGGAAATGGATCTTCAGGTAATATGATTTCAGATTTAAAAACATAGTACATATATATATAACTTTATATTTTTTTATATTTAAAAATTCTCAAACAGCGATTTTTAAAAAATTACAAAGAAATTTAACTTGCTAGAAATCATACCACTAATAAAAAATATTAAATAAAAAACAAAATTAAAAGAAAACGAGAAATAAAAAATATTTCATGTAATACGTTTCAGAAACTGAACATCGAATCTCCTTACGAATTTCTACGTCTATGGCAGTCTCTGAAGGATGATGTTAATCTAAAGTTGCATGCAAAACTTTTGCGATGTATAGCACACGAGGACATGAATAAAAGTAAATTTTACTAAATAATATTCACCATAATATTGATACTAATACTATTGATATAATACTAATACTATGGTTTAGTCTAATTTTATGTATTAAATGAAACATTATATAGTATATACAGTATCCTCCATAAGTTTGGGAACACCCTACGTTTTACAGGACCATTACATGACAGCGCTCTATACATGTTTTTGATTTAAATACATCGTAAGATGTCTAAATAATGATAAACATTTTTATCTAGAACACGTATAAGCTTGTACATGTCGAAACTATGTCGGACAATCATTTTACAGCATCGGAGAACTCAAGGTTGAATTTCGCACTTTGGTTTATTGTTTATATATTGCCACTTGTTTTGCAACATCGTATTTGCGTTCATTGTACATACACATCATAGGTCGTTTAATTATAGTTTAACGGTTTCTATAAAAGTGATAAACTATTTGAGTCGCAAGTTGATTTCAAACTCAAAAATTGTAAAATGGCCCCGAAGAATAAGATTTCGTATTTTCATTACAATTCCATATTTTGATAGCATGTTATTGTAGATAACTTACGTATGTGTATACTTTTATTTCGTCTTTTTTTCAATTAAATAATTATATACAAACCTGTAAAACGTAGGGTGTTCCCAAACTTATGGAGGGTTACTGTATATCAAATTATTTTTATAACACAATAATAATATATCTTACACTTTAGACAAATTTATTTTATAACTCAGAATTCGCGTACAATTTAGAACAGAATTTTATTTATAATTTTATATGCAATATATTTTAATATACTTATATACATTATGATATATTTTATATATATATAATTCTTCAAATGTTCCATCTTACACGACATATAAAATTATAAAGAAAATTTCATCTCCAATTTTGACATGAATTTTAGAGCGTCTAAAATCTGTATCAGACTACGCATTAAAAATAAAAAAAAAATAGACATTAGAATTAAAATAATCAGAACAAAATGGATCTAGATTAAAGTTATTTAATTGATCGAATTCTACTCTTTAATTTATAATTCTAAATCTCAATATATAGTCTAATACGCATAAGTCTTAAAGTGGGTCTGAATTCAAGAAATAATTTTAACCTGCAGTTATAGGCAACAAATTAGATGCAGCGATGTTCAGTCTCATTTTACGTTGCTTGGATCAACAATTCTGTACGCCGAAAGACACGGAATTGCTCGCGAATCTGCTATACTCTCTGAGCCGATTGAGTCGGTTTTCCATTATCAGTATGTTCATGGATTCCGGGGATAAAAAAGGTAATGTAAAAACAATGGATGTTATAGTGGCATTTACGAGACAGCTTATTCTTACGAACTCAGCTGACTAGATTTCTACGATTTGGATAAACCTCTAATTAACTTAATCGATGATTAACTTAATTAACTGTCAGAATTACTAACTTAAAGCAAAATTTCTGATTATATAATTCTTGCTCCTTTTTTAATCTTTTTACCATTTGTTAAACAACAAAAGTTAATCATTTAAACAAAATTAATCATCCTACAACAAAAAATTAATAATTCTATCCATAAAATGGTATAAATGTTACACTTGATAAATTAATTGGCAATTAAATTAATCACAATTTGATTAGAATTCTTAAGTAAATATTTTAAAAAGTATATGTATATATTTAATTCTTTGTCGGCAATCTGGGACTTTTTTCTAGTACAAATTTTTTTTACTGTTCTAGGCTTTAAAAAAATGTGGAAAAATTCAAGATTACTTTTTAATGTCTCTATTAAATTACCAAATATTTTTTTTTTAATCAAATGTTAAAATCTTTATTTAATCCATCCTTCTTCATTTCGGAGAAATTGGAAAGTGAAATTTCGTCAAAAAGATTGTAAATGGAGGATCAAATATGACACGTCTATTTAAATAGTTACATAAATGTCAGTTTCTAAATAGACATATTCAGATATATTTATGTAAATACTATGATATAAGTACCTGAATAAATTTCGTTTTACAGCCCTGGGAAATATATTACATTTCCTGGAAAAGGAGAATTCACCCAAGGTCTCGCAATTACGTCAGATCTATGTTACCTGAAGACCGCGTTAGCATCATTGAATACCTATACATACGTTAATCTCAAATAATTTGATTATTTAACAAAAAGGACGGAATGTGCGAATTCGATACATTGTAAACAGGAATGCGTTCCGTTTCACGCATGATTCGCATTATACATATATCATTTTATCCTTGTTATTCATCGAATATTAAAAAGAATAAAATAATACATGCATGAAACGGAGTGCATTCCAGAAATGTATAAACGTAGAACGTACACTCACAATGAGCAGAATATTAGTAGGCGACAAACAGCGATTTGCCACGCAAAAAATAGTTAAATCTGTTACTTAAAAACCGCGTTAGAATTGGTTTATGATCTGTTAACTTTTTCCGTAATCTGTAAGAATTGGCTAATCATAATCGATTATTCTCCTCTCATTCGACTGTGATTGGTCAATTCTTACAGATTACGGAAAAAGTTAACAGATTACGGCCTATTATAAACCAACCTTTAACCTTCCGCTAGCGGACGCAGGGTTTCGCGAGACCCGCGAGTTAGAGTTGTTTACTCTTTTCAATCTTTTCAACTGTAAAGAAAACGAATAAATGGATATTTGTTTCTATGATAAATATGTGTTTTTATTTTTCTTTCTGCATATTTTATATATATTATAATAAAAAATTATTTTTCAAACGTTTTAAAACAATGTTTTGAATTTATATACGTACTTTATTTAGGAAAATGAAGACGTCAAGTATGTAAATCAATGTTTTTTAATTGTAATTAGTTTATTTATGAACAAAAGAATATATACGAATGCTTAATTTGTGTTCTTTAGTGTAATACGGGTTTATTTGTTGTAAAAGTTTAGTGCACGAAGGGACATGTAAGTACAGTTTAAAAGATGAACCACCCAACCACTATGCTTAGAATGGTGTACTATGTGCACTTCTGTCATTTTGACGCAACATTTCTGAAATCAATTACGCTACTTTAGAAATCTAGTGACTTTAGTATTTTGTCAGATCTAAAATGCTGATTAATCTAAAAGAGTACACCAATAGCAACGAGCGCTCACGGATCCGCTCCGCAACAGTTGAATCTGCTGAACGCGACCGTAATTATTAACGACACTGATATTGATGACAAGTGAATTATGACGTACAGTACCTTACTCGACAGTTTAACGATTTACAATGCGAGAAAAACAACGCAAAATAATAACGTAAAATTTCGTGATTCGACTAACTTCACGTTTCTCTCGCGGCACGGACGCGGGAAATTCATTTTAATTAAAGACCTATACAAAGTTCAATACAGTGTATCTTGAAACGAGTTGAGAATTTCAAAAGTGAGCAAATTCATTAAATAACCAATAAAATTATAAATATTCCAGTAAATTCGCTCACTTTTGTAACTTTCATTGTTTGAAGATATATAAATACTACTTGGCTACGAGCAATTTTGTAAAAATAAAAATGAAAAAGAAGAGTATATACAATATACAGGACGTCCCGCAATTTTTTGCCAAGCGCTTTTATGTAAATAGAGTGAATTAAATCAAGTCGAAAAAAAGTCCTGTACCATTTTACAATTTTCGCAATAGTTAACAAGATATTAATTACTAAAAATCGCTGAATATATTGGTTTTCAATCATTTTTTACTTCAATACTATCAACTTTACAGAAAAACAGCAAGAGACAAAAATTGCTTATTTTCTTCTCATAAAGTTCTGAGAATTTTTTCAGAATTTTTTAATATTGTATTTTCTCATGTTGGTAAAAATAGTTAAAATAAGAGGAATGTAATTAATATTGTATGCCAATATTATTTATATATAACAAAGTAAATTGCATTGATAATAATTTTAAATCTTTTTCTATTATCAATCTTTTCATAATCTTCAATCATATAAACCGACTAATGAGGGAAAGAAAGAGAACAAAAAATATTTATGATGTTAAACAAAAAGCTTTTTGTAATAAAACAGACAAGTTTACAATTATATGTGCTGTGTACATATATTAAGCATATATGTTAAAAATTAAAAAAAAAAAGAAAGGTTTGGAGGAGCTGGGATTTGAACCCAGGACTTTCAGCATGCGAAGCAGACACTCTACCACTGAGTTACACCCCCATTTGATAAAGCTTTCTTTAAACTGAAAGACATGAAACATGCCATATTTTTAAATCGTCTTTTTATGATTATGTAAGATCAAAACAATAAATTATATAATAGTACAATATCATACATCCTAAGGAGTTATTTTATTGTTATTTTTCCTGGGATTAATAATAGAAAATTGTTCACATTTAATTACGTCATGTATGTAAAATGCAATATATAGATAAATTCTATATAAATTAGAATTTAGGATTTAATTATATATTCTCATTATATATTCTCATTTTGACATTTTTGAAATAAAATTATATTTCTATCAGCAACGTGCCATTTTTCAGATCAAAGTCCAAACGTAATTGAAAAAAGTAATCAATATAATTAACTCGTCTGATGATCTTTGAAATCCTGCAACGTTGATTTTTCTGATACTACAAATTTTTTTTAGTACAATCTTAATTTAGCAACATCCGCTCAGCGTTCATCTAAATTGCACTCTTTACACTTTATTTTTTCCTTCTGCTCCCTTTCGCAAGCAAGAATATACACCTATTTCGTTTTAAGTGCCGAAAGTGCAACTATCATACGAAATGCAAAAAAGACCAACGAATTCTCTCGCTGATTTCTTTTCTCCGTTCAGGTCCAACTCGCAGCCTCCAATGAGACCAGAGAAGGAGAGCGCTCGAGCAGAGCTGCCAATCGCAGCGTTCGCTCAATTCGCAGTATGAATCCGCCTTGAGAATCGCGGCATTCTCGGCTGGTTTTGGCCGTTTTGGCCGCACTGTTCACGGCGACATCATCCGCGCCCCGCGGACATGTATTATTGATGTGCTAACCTATGCGACGAAGCAACGCTCGGCGATCCGTCGCGCCGTAAATCCTACACTTTACCGGTGTAATCGCACGCTTTGCACCCGGCGATTAATCTGTGAGTAAGAAGCGCCGTCGTGCCGCGTTAAATTGCGCCGCGTCACGCCGTGCCGCGAATCCGCTCGTCGACGACGACGACGACGACGACGACGACGACGACGACGCTCGGCCACCGACGTCGCAACGAGCGTCTCCCCACGCGCTGCTGTCATCGCGCGTCGCCCGTCGCCGCCGCCGTCAACGTTCGTTTCGGAGTGTGAGCGCGAAAAACGGTCCCGTGGATAATCGTCTTTCGTGCATGCTGCCCGCACGCGTCATCCTGACCTCTCGTCGACCGCTACGTGCTCGATCCGGCCTTGTCCCGGACGTAAGTTCCGTTGCGTCGCCTCCAGCCGTTTCGCCGGGGCGATTTACGCGAGCAATTTCGATAATTCTTATCGTTACACATATATTTGATATATTAATAAATTGTTGACGGATATTGAAATGTCACTGTTGATGTTAGATAAACAAAGACAGGTTTGCTCTTGGTATGTTATCGACAACAATTGTTAGCGATTATTGGAGACACACCAAGAATAGATAATTCATTGAACTGATATGGCCTAATTTGTCGATATTAGCTAAACAAATTTGTTTTTTTCATATCTACTGTTTCAGAATGGAGTAATTATTGTGTTTATCTATAGTCTTTTTCTGTAAAGGTACTATTTTATTTGTCATACGACATATTTTTTAAGCATATTAATTGGCTACAACATAGAAAATATTTAGAGATTGAAGAACTTTTCTATAATCAATTCACTTGAAAAATTTTGTTGTACGACAAATGAAATAACATCCTAATGTTGGTTTTCACTAATGTAGATTTAATCTCAGTTCACTTATTTACTTATTCTTTATCTTTCTTTAGTTCTAAGAATTAGGAAAAGATAAAGAATAAGTTGGACTAAGATTAAAATTAATTTACACTAATAGAAACAAGCATAAGGCTGTGATGGAGATATAAAGAATGGATATAGTGTTTGCATAAAAAAATATGGCTAATATTATTTACAGAAAAGCAACTGTTATGATACATGGTTTATGGACACGAATTACTAGATGGTAGAATGTGAAAGATTGGACTGTACCAAGTCCAAAGGAAAAACCAGTGATTTGTGGGAAGGAACGCGACATTGTCCACCACGGCTTTCACCGAGATGGTTGGATTGGCGGGCGGGGGAAGTCATTTGTATCCCTCGCCCCCCATGCAACCAAATCCAGAGTGTAAATATCACAGTGATAATTGTTATAGTATTTAAATGATACTTGTATTGGTCACTATCTCTTATCATTGACATTTTATTTATATCTCAAGGAATTTATATTCTCAAGGAACTAATCAGCTATTGAATAAAATTAATTGATTAAAGATTAAGTAGTTAAATTTTAATACCTTTGATTTTGACTATTTCAGCTTTAATAATTTTATTTCCTATATACTATTTAGAAAAAGATATTTAAAATGAGATTATTATATTTTAAATTGTTAAAATAAAAAATTTTGTTGCTCAATTTCATTAATTTATATGACTTTTTTTGTGTTTTTTTAAATGCAGTGAGAGAGATGACTGGGATAGCGCCTAGTGCTCCAACCAGTGCAGATGCTTGCTTAAGCATTGTGCACTCGTTGATGTGTCATCGTCAAGGTGGTGAAAGCGAAGGCTTCAGCAAACGAGCAATTGAATCTCTTGTGAAGAAACTCAAAGTAAATTCCATATGCATATCTCTATGTTATTAATATTATACAATATTGTTTTAAAACAAATCATCTATTGTGCTGATATCTTTATTTTTGCTAATTTTTGAATTATTTTCTATTGTTTTATTTTATATAAGATGCATTCCATTTGATGCTCATAACGCTTGCAAGCATTATTTATCCTTGTTTAATATTTGATAAACAACAAGGATAAAATGATTCCATGAGCATTGCAGGCTGATTCAAGTGAATCAGCTGTCTATTTTGTAAAAACAGCTGATTGTTATTTTTACTTCATGATTGTCATTCGATAGTTTGTAACCATTTTTCCATTATATTTCAAAACTGTGGCTGCATTATTCATTGGGAATGCTGAAAATCTATAGTTACGTATATTATAGATTTTCAGTATTTCCAGTGAATAACAGAACGCAGCTTATAAATAAATATTGGATTTTTATTCAGATATTTTTTGCAGACATGCACAAAATATGCAAATATGCACAATATGCACAAATAAATATGCATTTTTAGAATGCTTTTTTAATGAGACAAATTTCTATTTTTATATTACTTTCCAATCTGCTTTCTAAAAAAGTATGAAATTGCATAAGAATCCGATGTACTTATAAAGATTCATTTATAAAGATTGATACGTATAATTTGCTCAACAGGAGAAACGTGACGAATTAGATAGTTTGATCACTGCGATAACTACTAATGGCGCACATCCAAGCAAATGTGTCACCATCCAAAGAACTTTGGATGGTAGATTGCAAGTAGCAGGACGGAAAGGTTTTCCTCATGTGATTTACGCTCGCATTTGGAGATGGCCAGATTTACACAAAAACGAACTGAAACATGTGAAATACTGTCAGTTTGCTTTTGACTTGAAATGTGATTCCGTATGCGTGAATCCCTACCATTATGAGCGAGTGGTATCTCCGGGCATAGGTATGTTACGACATGTAATCTTGCTTTAGACTTTATTTTTAACACACTTAGTATTGTGTATTTTGTGTATGTATATGATACTGTATGATACTTCTTCCTTTTTTTACAACTTTAATTTCTCTCTCCTCTTTTCTTTTTGTCTTTATTATTGTCATGGAAAAAACGCTCGATTAAGCTTAGTTCTATCATTCCCGATCGTAATTATCCAACGAAATAAGTATAAATTGTGCATCCTGGGGTTAACAAATACAGAATATTAGAGCGAGAAAAATCATTGATTGTTGTGGTCTTCTTGGTGTCTTGATGGAATGGGTTGGTTTCCCCCGCACAGACCCGTTCTTTACAGACCTATCCGGCCTAACATTACAATCCGGTGTGGGTGTTGGTCCCGGTGGAAGACTGGTTAAGGACGAGTATACAGTCGGCGGCGGCGGCACGGCTGGACAGCCGCTGCCGCAGTCGGATCCGCGATGGACGTGGACGGTGAGATGAATCAGACGATTCAGCATCATCCACCGACTCAGTCAACCGCCTCGAACAATGCACAACAAGCTCAGCAGAGCTTTATACCGGGTTTACCACCGCCCAACTCAAGTAAGTTGAATATTGCTATTGTATCTTTTCATTTTGTGAAGCTTCCACTTTATCAAAATTTTCATCAATTGGCTTTACACGGTGTCTGTTTGTAATTAATGTCTGGTGACTAGATAGTAGTATACCTCGATGAACCGGTGCAACATATTAACACGTGGACGTATCTTTTTATCTAAATATAAGAATGTTAATAAGTTATTAATCTGACAAGTCGCAAATCTGGCATGTGATGGTTACGTTTCAGGAAAATTTATGCAGATACCATCGAACTGTGCTAAAAATATACATGCTATTGAATTTGACGCGCTCGATATGATTGTTAATTATTAAAATGATTGCGCTAACGAGCCAGCCGCTTTCGTTTATTGCTATCGAATGTAGATTTAGCAGGCAAGAATACGCTTCGCAAATTTCTCTTTTGTTGCGTAATACAATTTTTGTTTTGGTTTTTTGCTTCATTGTTTTCTTTTCCTTCTGATTGTTCGGCACAGCCAGTACTGAGGGTATGTTTAGCGCCGGTGGGGGCGGCAATAATGGTAATCCCCATGCTAAACTGGACGACAATAATTGCCCCAGACAAACCTGGATACCCACGCCTCATCACTCGGCAAGCCGTAACATGCATCATCGTACGTATTTCATTGTACACAGCTATTTATTTAAGGAGCTTTCAATTATATGTCGCTGATTAGCCATCGCTCAATGTTGCCAATGTGCATTTTTCGTGATTCTTAAAATCGAATCAGAATTTCCCAAATTAAATGTAGCGCTTCATAAAAGATGAAGTAATTACGAAGCAATTGTGTGAGTACGAAAGACGATCTTTGAATTTATTTCATAGGAAATACAAGATATATCTGAAATGGCGTCTAATCATGAATCAACCATGAATACAAAGATGGGTAGCACATTTGTTACGATATCAGACTAATGTTTAAATAAATGTAACCTACACAATCAACTTTATCCGAGAGACATCCTGAGAACATCCTTAGGATGTCTTTTGAATGTCTTTAAGATGTCTCTTTCAAGAATCTTAGATTCTTCTAAAATTAGAATTTTGTTATTTTAATTTGAAAGCTCGTTCTGCAATAGCAAAGATCGAAAATCAATTATTAAAACGTTTAAAATACATTTAGAATAAATATTTTGGGAAATGCCGATTCGCGCAACAATTTCAGAGCAACGCTAGCGAGGGCCATGTTCATTGCGTTTTAATATTTTATGTTGCCTGCATCGTGTATGAATTTTGATTTTACAGCAGTAGTACATCCAATGAGTCACACCGTAGGTAGCCAGCAACAGTCGCTGAATGCAGCGTCGAGCGGAACGTCTGGTGCGCAGATTCTGAGTCCTGCGCAAGGACAATCGACTGCTGACACATTCTACAATACTACTACACCTCCTCAGGATATCAACCAATCCCCAACAGTTGACGCGTTAGCGGCTTCTCTGGGTAACAAATTTTTTACAAGATTTTACTTAGATTATTAAAAGTGATTATATTCCTCTAAATGCAAATCTCAAGGATCTATATTTCCCTTCTAACATCTTTAACACAAAAGTACTTTAACATTCTTAATATATGAATTTATTTCCTTTGATTTAAATAGGTGAAGGGCAGAGTTCTCCTGTGTCGCCTGTTCATCTTCACCATCCAAACGGCTTTCCCGTGGGTACAGCCCCGTACAATTCCGGTGCACCACAATGGACTGGTGCCAATACTCTCACATATACTCAAAGCATGCAACCACCAGATCCTCGACATCTTCATACTACATCATATTGTAAGTTAATTACATTAAGCCAAAGAAAAATTTCCTTTTTAAACAAATCATTTTTTTTTTTTAATTGTATGAAAGGCCTTGAAATAAACACACAAAATAAATGTTGAGATTAATTATTTAATATAATAAGACACACTTAATACGACAAAATGTTTCAAAACACGTAACCAGTTTTGATTTAATTATAGTCTTCATTAACCGCAATATAATTAATAATTAATTTATATTAATTGAACCATATTACACGATGTATTTTAATAATTAATTGTTAAAGATTCAGTTTAAATAATTAGTCTTAATTATTTTATGTACTTGTTTAACTCTTTGTATGATCCTTTATATGATTGATTTTAACTTGTTATTATGATAACAAGTTCTTCTTCTTCTTCTTCTTCTTCTTCTTCTTCTTCTTCTTCTTCTTCTTCTTCTTCTTCTTCTTATGTTAGGCCTCTGTGTTACACCTTTCTCATATTGTGGTGCGCACGTTGATTATTCAGTCGCTACAAGCATATGGAGTTTTAATGCCGGTTCCGAACGGCGGATTTTTTGAGAAGTGTTTCTGTAGGCAAGGATATTCTCGGGAGGTTGCCGGCCTCTTCCGAGAGGAGACACGAGCGTAAATATTTTAGTTCCTATTGGGATCGAACCTGGGACCTCTGACATGATAGACCAGTGCGCTATCTGCCATGCCACGCTCGCACTCCAATAACGAGTTGTTCTTTCTACTCTCCCTTTCTAAACTTTCTAAACTTATCAACATAACTTTACATTGAATCTAATACTTCAATGAAACAGGGGGAGGTCATGGAAATGACGTTAGTGGAAACATTGGAGGATTGCTCTCTACGCAACCAGCACCAGAATATTGGTGTTCCGTTGGTTACTTCGAATTGGACATCCAAGTCGGAGAAACGTTCAAAGTCAGCAGTGGTTGTCCCACGGTCACCGTGGATGGCTATGTAGATCCTAGTGGCGGAAACAGATTCTGCTTAGGTGCCTTGAGCAACGTGCACAGAACAGAACAGAGCGAACGGGCACGTCTTCATATAGGTAATTGTAATTCAATTGAGAGTTTTCTAGAAAATACTATAAAGATCTTTGATTAAAACAAAACATTTTAGGAAAAGGCGTTGTATTGGATTTGAGGGGTGAAGGTGATGTTTGGCTGAGATGCCAGAGCGAACACAGCGTCTTTGTACAGTCTTACTACTTGGATAGAGAGGCAGGCCGGGCACCTGGTGACGCAGTACACAAAATCTATCCCTCGGCGTACATTAAAGTCTTCGATTTAAGGCAGTGCCACAAACAGATGCGAGGCCAAGCCGCCACCGCTCAAGCCGCCGCAGCAGCGCAAGCTGCAGCTGTCGCAGGCCATCTCACACACGGAGCGCCTATCACCAAAAGTAAGAATCGAGCAGCTATCATAATAACACATTTTTAATAACTTAATTAAATTATAAATATAGTTTAACACATAAATAAAATACATTTATTTTATTAAGAAAATAATATACATTTTAATACACTCACGATAGTGTATACATAAAACGCAATTATTACTCAGGTCTCAGCGCGGCTGCAGGGATTGGAGTCGACGATTTACGAAGACTTTGTATCTTGCGTTTAAGTTTTGTTAAGGGTTGGGGTCCAGATTATCCGCGACAAAGTATAAAAGAAACGCCATGCTGGATTGAGGTATATTTCATTGATTTTCTTTACTTAGGAATCTTTTTAATCAGAAATTCTTTTTTGAGAAAAAATGTAAAAACTAGTACGATTTAATAAATAAAAAATATAATATATGTACTCTGTGTAAGATGTACTATACGAATTTATTAAATTTTTGCTTACATTATTTTTAAATTTAAAAATAAACGTATGAAGGATTATTTTAAATCAAAGTCAAATTGTCATTTATATTAATTTACCAATTATTATATCTTTTTACATATCTTGTAATATTCTATTTTCAATATTGTTATTTCATTTATTTTCCAGGTGCATTTACACAGAGCGCTTCAATTGCTGGATGAAGTGTTGCATACAATGCCCATCGATGGACCACGAGCAATCGAATAATTTCATCGATTCGAGTTATGAGAGACGTAAAAAGAGCATCACTATGTTGTTGCTAAAGTCGAGTGTAACATACGTTTGAACAATCATACAAGTAATTTTGGCTTGGGAACGCGAGTGGACACACCGGATGGACCAAATTCATCAGACGTATGATCAAACGATTAAAACGCGAAATTTGGCTGGGGAGCTCGGGGAAGAGATCTTGCGGAAGCTATTTATATATTTAACGACTCGTGATATAATAACCTGTGTAGGACAGGGGTTCCCAAACTCTCCGACGTCCATGTTACAGATGGTCCGTAGATAAAATATTTGTATATTCTAAAATTCTATACATTTTGCATGTGCATATTTTTTTTTTATCATAGAGTGTACATAATGTAACTCGTCTCTATTTTTTTATTTGCAAATAATTTTTGTTAGACAATCGAAGAGAAGAAGGGAAAGACTAATATGCGCGCGCGTTAGTTATCACATATAATACATAAATGATTTAGTATTAAATCGAAATTTACATGTCAAATTCTAATTGGAGGCCCCTTTAATTATTTTTGCATTATTATGTCCCAGAATTTTTTGTAGATAACTGAGAAAAATATCGACGGAAATTATTAAACCAGAAACTGTTTATTAATTTTTTTATATACAGCGTGAGACTTTATTTAATAGTTGTTTATGTAATATTCATTGCGAGCAAAACATAATTTGGTGTTTTATTCTTTTTATTGTTATTGTTTTTTGGCTATAATGACCATATAGAGGGATCGAAAAACATTTCTCATACAGTGAGTGCAAAAAGTATTCGTACAGAGAAAATATTTTTAAAAAAACTCTTTTTAAAAAGTAAATATTATCTAGCGAGAAATGAGTCATCGAATTAATGTTGAATCGATATCGATACAATTATTTCAACACTAATTTGACATCGATTCGACTTTTAATTGACGATCATTTCTTGCTGGATAATTAACAATTTATTCATAAAGAATAAAATAGATCGTATGTTTCTTAAAATTATATATACCAAAAAGATGTGTATTATAGAAAATATATCATCTGAAAAATAAGCGAAAATGAAAAATTGTATTGTTTGGATGTTCAAAAAGTATTCGTACAGTCAAGAAATTTACAATTTAGAAATTCTAAGATCAGGAATACATACGAAGCTCGTTTGTTTATGTTAGAACAGAATGTATTATATAAAATTACTAATTAATGTTTATTTTCTACAAATAAGACTTTTTATAAAAAATTTGCTTGTATATACGAATACTTTTTGCACTCACTGTATATGTTATGTACTTCTTATATATGTTATGTTTATTATAATATTTTTACTATAGTCCTTCCATACTGAAAAAATTCAAGTTGTTTTATTTTAATGTTCTTTGTGATAACATAATGTTTATACTTCATGTCTCGAGAACTAAAATCATCCTAATTTTTAAAATTCAAACCTGCGTTTTTTATTGCATACATCTTGAATTTAAACGTATGGATACTTAATTCGTTTTATTTAATATGTAATCTGATAAAAATATACTTAGGAAAATTAATTAATAGGTCAAATTATATATTGAGAAAAGATTTTAATTAAAAGTTCAATTTTAGAGATCCGATAATGTTGCTGAGTTTCGATGAGAAAAAAAAGCATTGTCGTTCCCCTTTTTATTCTCCTCTTCGCTTTGGTAGTTTTTTTTACTGGTTTGAGAACCCCTGCTGTAGGATAAAATATGTGCCACGGCCTTGCACTACTACCAACGTACAAAAGTGAAAGAAACGTTATTTTTATTTACGAGATGTAATTTTTTACGGAGAGAGGCGACATGACGCGTCTCACCAAGAGAGGAGCAGAAGAAAATAGAACTACAGTCTTCTATTTTGCTAGGCGCACGATGGAGAAATTTTCTCGGTGACGCGCAGTCCGCTAAGCTCACAGTGATACCAGTTTCAGAACCATTACATAGTCACGACCCTGTTCTTTGAGATTAGCTTTGTAAGATAACTGAACTCTACTGTCTACATTTATTACTTACTGCAAATGTTAAGCTCAACATTTATATCGGACAAGAAGAGTCTTACTTTTTTGGATTCCTGGATTTGTGAACATGAGATAAAAGAACATATTAAATTACTTAATCAAAAAGCATAAAAACTAATACTAATTCAAATTGCAATTTGAACCAGCGTTGATTTTTATGCTTCTTGATTAAGTAATTTGATTTATTCTTAAAGCCATTTTATATTATATTAAAACTTTTTTAAATTCTCAAGAAGAGAATGAATGATAAATCTATATATAATTTTTAGTTTATTAATTGTAGAATTGGAAAGGGAAAACATCGATGTTGATTTCCAGCTTTCCGCTGAAATTTTGTAATTAGATCTGTGAATTCTGACATAAGCGTTCAAGAATCTAGGAATCTAGAGATATGAGACCCCAGGGATCTCAGAACCCAGGAATCTTGAAGTCTGAGGATCTAGAGATCCGAAGATATAAGAGTCCTAGGATATAAGAATTATCTTTATGCACATGTATACAGTAGGGAAATTTTCTCTAAAGACACAGTAATACATTTCTGCCAAGTAGCAAGCATAGATAGTTCGTAAGGATAACTCATGCATACATACAGTTATAATCTTTCGTAAGAATAAACTTTTTGTATTTAAATTCGCATTGAAGAAATATGATATCACACATTTTTTTGAGTTGTGAAAAGATCATACTTATAATTAGAAAATATATTTATCACAGTTTATATATAATATTATATAAGGAGAGAGAGAGAGAGAGAGAGAGAGAGAGAGAGAGAGAGAGAGAGAGAGAGAGAGAGAGAGAATGTAACGATTATATTGGCAGAAATTTTACAGTGGCGTTAGAATTATTTGTTTATTACGAATGGGTAACTTGTTTATTGTCTGTTTTACAGTTTATAACCAAAAACTATTTTATATATAGAAACCTTGAAGTTCTATAATGAGTATACTTGTTCATCTTTTTTATTTCTTCGTTTCGTGAAATAAAATCTTTTAATTTCTTAGTTATTATATTGATTATCATTATTATCATTATTGCGGTTATTGGAGGAGACAATGAATTGTGCAAAAAATAACATATTCAACTTAGAGCATAATAAATGCTTTAAACAATTTTAGAATCCAAGATCTAAAAACACAATTTATAAATTTAATTGTGAAGTGGAAAGATGTGAAAAAATTTAAGAATTTTTTAAAATATACATATTACGTGTAATATATTATTTATTTATTATATCTATATCACATATTGACGCTGAAAAAAAATTAAAGCGATAAATCGAATTTAATTTAATTTATATGTATGGATTTCTTTCTCCGATTATACGTCTCCACCAGTTAACCGCCGGATGTTATTACTATTACTACGTAGTACTTGTTGAATAATTATACTTACTGTTTACCAACTATTTTTTATTAAAATATAGTCGTACAAAATATTCTTACATATATAATATTTGATGATATAACATAGAGAGTGATTTACATATATAAGAATGAGAGAAAGAGAAGAAAAGAGAGTCGACCAAATTCAACGGTATGTATGTACAAGGTGCCCCAAAATGATCAGAAATATCTTTGTTCACCTTGTGCATATACCTGTGTATATTCCGTATACAGGGTGATCCGAAATTCGAGGAATCGGAATACAGGACATGATACTTTATGCTAAAACAAACAACTTTTTCCTTTAGCAAAATTACGTCCGACAAATAGTTTTTGCAGGAGAGCAAGTTGAAGTTATACAAGTAAACGCAAAAATTATTTATCAAATGTAATTTTACTACAGAAACAAGTTGTTCGTTTTAACACAAAAAACAACTTTTTCCTTTAGCAAAATTGCGTCCGATAGTAGTTTTTGCAGGAGAGCAGATTGAAGTTAACAAATAAGCGCAAAAATTATTTATTGGGCGCAATTTTGTTAAAGGAAAAAGTTGTTTGTTTTAGTATAAAGTATCATATCCTGTACTCCGATTCCTCGAATTTTGGATCATCCTGTATATACATATATATTTTATTCTAATTGATTACATATTTGTGAAAACAGAGAGAAATGTTTAAAACTTATTTACGATACACAATAGTATTTACCGATTCTCATTTCTTTGTTGCAATTCAGCCTTAATATTGTGGAGTGAATGAATGAATTTTCCACGAGAATTAAGATGAAGAGAGAGAAAGAGAGAAAAAGAGACGAGGATTGAACGTTACCGTTTAAACTAAGTTCGAGAAGAATTTGCATTCTGAATATATACATAGAAGTTGCTACATAGATGTCTGACGATTACCGTATTATGTTTCTTAATGATAAATCTCCTGACGGAAGTCTGCGTCAAGAAATTTATAAATGGAAAAATAATTCAGTAAACGCGGAACGCATCGATGTACACAATGCCTTCCTTTGATCGACCAATGAAATGTACACACAGCTCAAGTATATTGACAAGAGATTCTTGCTTACAAAGCCAAGCTAGAAACACATGTGCCATCATTTTCGTGCATATAAGGAGAGATATAAAACTTAGGACTTCTTACAAGACTGTATTTTTAACTCCAGACTAAGCATCCTTCGTGAATCTAATAAGAACCTAAAACTACCGCTGATCTAATTAAGAATTTAGATTCAATCGCGAAGCATAATATTTCGAGGTATCCATAGGTCTAAGAAGCCGAAAAGAAAGAGATTCAGACATTGACAGTTGTAAGGATTTTTAAAAATCCAGAAACGGCTCCGAGGCTCTAAGGATTTTAAGTAGGAATCTAGGAATTAAGTAAGCTGCTAAGGTTCTGCGAACCTGCAAATTCCGTGGTTCTACTTGATAAACCAAATTCTGCTCCCATTGTCTTAGTGTTTAGAAATTTCCTATAGTAGCGTAAAAAAATCAGAAAGAGAATGCAGCTCTTGAAACAAGCCATGAATTTTTTAACGCATGCATTAAAGTGAAAATCACGCGAGACGCGAATAAATAGATGAGAATCTCTAAAATTAGCAATTGGAGGGCTCATCGACATGCTAACTACGAGATTAATAGATTGTTTCTCGACAAAGAGGCTTAAGTACATATTAAAAATTGATCCCACAGCATGTTTCATTACAACTACTTATATATGGAATACTGCCACTGTCGAGTTCACGAATTTTGCGAATGTTGCCTTCAGACGAATGCAGTTTTGAAATGCAAGAGGATTTTGCAAAGTCTGGCCGCCAGAAGATCATGATTAAATTATTCTCGCGTTGAATTTCCTTCACTCGCTTTATCATTTATTATTTAGAGTTTAGCATGGTACTGCCCAGAGTTCTTCAACTTTGAAGTCTAATGCCCGTAGTCAGACCTTGCACTTAAGGCTTCCTTAAATATAAGGCCTGACTATGAATACGAGCATTTAACTACTGAAAGGCGAAAAACTGCAAGACGTTCGTTACAAATTCTCCTCCTTCGTCAAAAAGATCGCTGTGAGATCTTTTTTCTCCTTACTTGCGTTTCTTCAAAGCAAACGGCACAAACTGTTCTGCGTCTAAGCCAAAGAAACCCCCCCCCCCCTGAGATGCTGCAATTGTTACGAAATATTAAAAAATATACGACGAGATTCTTTGATTTCTTTTCGCGCTGGGCGTTCCGAAAGAGAAATCGAACAGAAAATTAAAAGGCTGCTTAGACAACACAAAGTCCAAAGTCAAGAGATAAGACATCTTAAAGACATCTTATGTCCCGATTTTAGACTTTGTGTTGTTTGAATGATTAAACGGAAAGTCTAATTAAAAAGTCGACGAAGATTTTTTTCTGGAAACTTGATAAACGATCGAGAAGAATAATAACAAACGCGCGAGTGTCTTTTCGGAGCGTCCTGCGTGCACAAGATGTAATTATTCTTGCGTTAATTATTATTTCCATTAATAGGATTCGTTAATTTTACGACACGCAGGTGGAATTTTATCGCGATCCCGTGCGATTTGTAATTTGGATCTGAATTTTCGCGAAATTCCAACTACGTTCGATCTGTGAATGGCATAAAGAGCGAGAAGGAAAAAAAAGAGAAAAGGAACGACATTATTATAGTATAGATACAAATTAATATCTGTGATTATCGTCGATGCAGATATATTTTAAGTAATTTCTACAGCGTTCGGGCACATTTGTAAAAAAGGAACGGAGGACAAGACAAAGGGAAAAAAAAGTAAAAAAAAAACAATTACAATTAATAATAACCATATATACGGCGATAATAATTTTAGAGCGATTGTTGAGATAAGATTTATTCGTGTTTGTGTTGGATGATATTGTCGTACCGCGTGATGACGAAGGTTAATTAATTACGCATTAATTGTAATTAGGATAATTAATATATAGTGTGAGCACGCTATTGCTGTTTCGAGGAAAGAGGAACATAAAAAAAAGAAAAAAAATAGAAGGAAAACACGAGGGAGCTCGAATGAATGTATTTCGCGGAATCTGATTTTGTTGTTGTACATTATAGATACATCGCATTATACACGATCATTTTCAATAAACATATTCTGTAAATGATTTCTCACTCTTTTTTGAACATGTTTCTACTGCATCCGACTTTATATTTCTCGAAGATTTACTTAAATTTCTCTAAAATATTATATTTTTTAAATATATCTCTGTTTATTTTTCAAGAATTTGAAAATTTTTGTGATATGATTAAGGCTTATAGTTTAAAGAAAAATTTAATATTTAAAAAATTCTTAAAAACGACTAAGGTTATTTTGGAAGATATAATTTCTTCAAAAAATCTGTATACAGGGTGTTTCCAAATTAAATCGCAAAACTTCGGGAGCGTGTAGAGGAGTAAAAAACTAAGAAAAAAAGTCCTATAGACATATGCTCGTTTTTGCTCCGTTTCAGAGAAATCGAAAAAAAATGTTTATATTTCTTGCCATATCTAGCACCGACATATTTGATTACATTTTCCACTTTCTGTTATGAATTTGTCAGTCGCTCTTTGAAAGCCTTTAATAGTAGATGAATTTTGTCTTTTGCAATATGCCGCGTACGTATTCTAATAGTGAATATGCTGATATGGTTTTTGTATACGGTTTCTGCAACGGTAATGCTTTAAAGGCCTGGCTGCTACAAGAGCCGTGTTTGACAGATGCAATGCTTGTATTGCTGCAAGAGGTGCACATTTCGAACAAAATCTTCATTAAAAAGTTTATAAATAAAATAATTAAAATAATAAATTAAATATATTTTTTTCTTTTTTCGTGATTTCCTGCGAAACAAAGCAAAAAGGAGCATATGTCTATAGGACTTTTTTTCTTAGTTTTTTACTCCTCTACACGCTCCCGAAGTTTTGCCATTTAATTTGGAAACACCCTGTATATACAGCCACTATAAACTATAAAGTGCCTTTGATTGTAAAACTAAAATGAACTTTTGTTTCAAATATTTCTTCCTATATCTTTTATCATTTTATTACGACAATATTATTTGTAGTTTCATCAACTTTATTTTATCTAATAAAAGTCGATAAAAGTCACAAACAAATAGATTTTTTTTCTCAAAAGAAATGTTTCATCTTCTTAATGTACGTAAGAATATTTATTTAAAAAAGTAGATATCTTTTATTTTGATTATATATTTATATACGACACATTTTGTACAATAAAGTTCATAAAATTTCAAGAAGATACTTACGTTCTCTTTGTTATAAGTTATTACAGCTACGATAATTAGAATATTTGAGTATTTAAATGCAAAAGCGCAATTTCAGATGCGCAAGCGCAGCGAATCGCCGTGCTTGGGGGGAGGCACAAAAAAGAGAAATAACCTCACTTTTGAGAAATTGGAGGAAATTATTGGAGTAACATAACCAAAGCCTGCCAAAATTGGAGCGGCGAAGTGACGAAAGATTTGTGTTGTTACTTCGAAAACGTATTTTGGTATTTGTCATTTAATTATTTTCAATATTTATTGATTATTATAATATTATATTTACATTATATATTAAGTTATTACAAGACTGTTAATATTTGGTATCTTCTATATATTTCGTCAATTTTGGTTTATTTAAAGGATGTTCGTTGCAATATAATGTCAATTATATGTTTACTCTCCTTATTTAATTTATTTTGATCTCTTTATTACCTCTTTATTACGTACCCAGACATCATGTCCAAACTACAGATATAAGATGTCTTGGAAGTGTCTTACATTCATATTTTGGATGTAAAGTTGTCTGAGTATATATAACAGACTGATTTAAATGTATGAACAAATGATACGATAGTATTGTAGTGACAAGCATGAATATTACAAGCTGATAATAATACAATTTTCATGACAATAAGTTTTTATAGTTTTAGAACAATACAGACCATGAGGATAATAAACATTAATGCATTAACAATGGGTACTACAGGACTCTGTGAGACTTTTATTCCAAATTCTGTCTACACACAGTGCATACGTTGGAAAAGAAAACCAATTTGGCTGCCTACAGCAAAATCTAAAGTGTTTCGAGTACCAAAAAAACCTGTCATACCTATGGAAGATTACGTGGAGCTCAAGCGTTTATATAATAATTATAGGACATATATGACATCATTTAAGTACGTATAATTCTATAAATCTGACTTTTGATAATGATGATTAATAAAATAAATACGATTAATACAACCTAGAATATTCTAGCTACTGATTATTCTTAACTTCAAAAATTAACCAATTATTTATTGCAGCGCATATATAAGGCAAATTGCAAAAGAAAATAAGACGCAAGTTAATGAGACAGTAGTTAACGAGCTGACCGAAGAGGACTTTAAAGCATGCAACGCTATAAATGATGAGTGGAATGCAAAAATAGCAAAGATACGAGAGATCAGGCTGGCAGAAATGAGGGAGAAACGCAAAAATATCATTCTGCAGAGTATTTTAAAACAAGAGCAGAAACAAGAGAAACGGAAAATTAGGATCAATGAATTGGTTAAAAAGGTTAAGGAAGAATCTATCACGTTCATCACTGCGGAGAATGTGGATGCTGCGATCGAGGAGTGTTTGACAAATATCGTTAACCATAATCGTGCATTGGATGTGGAAGGGAATTGGCACGAAGGAAAGTATCCCCCGATCCCACTTGTCGAAGAGACACAGGAACCAGCGGCTATTGAGCAACAAAACTAAATTTGAAAATTTCATATCCATACTACTCGGGAAAGTAAAGCGAAATTTAATGGACCTGTACTGTTTTGAAGTGTTCTAGATTCTCGCTGGAATAATGATGATAATCATGATAAATACGAGCTATTATAATATAGATTGTAATAAATATAAAATAGATACTTCAATATTATTCCTTACTATACATAATTAATATTCCTAGAAAAAATTAAGCGATTGATAAGAGCTTAGATATAAATATATCAATTAAAAAACTCATATATATATATATATAACCATCAATTAAATAATATATATATATATACATATATATATAGTGAAATTAAAAAATTATGACAGAAGTTTCATTGCATAAAGTTATGCAAAATAATAATGCACAATTAATTAAGGTACCGGTTAGTTAGTCAAACTTTGCGTCCTTACAGAAAGCTTACGGAAAAAGTGTTTGAAGCCTGTATAATTAGCACAGTGCGCTACAAAGCAGCTCATTAAAATCGCGCGACTTGAATGCAACCAGGTTGTATGATACATGTACATACATACAAGCGACTGCCCGCTACTGCTATTTACCTGCTTCCCTTTAACGCACTTCAAGCAGTCTTTCGCGGACAACGCGCCGACTCGCACCACTGATTTTGCCCTCTCGATTCTCGAGGCGAAACGAAACGGAGAAAATATTCGTAAACGAAAGGAGATTCGTTCAAATTCTAAATTAGTTTATAAACAAAATCACGATAAAAATAGCTGTTGAAATTGACGAGAAAGTCGCGGTGCTTCATGCGATAATTAGGTGAATGAAACGTGATTATCGGAAACGGCATTTATATTGGAAAGTTACGCAAAGTACCATGAAGTTATAAGATCTCGATATTATAAATGCAAAGTTATTTTGCAAAATTATAAAATTAATCAACAAGACTTCCGTGCAGTAAAATCACTAGTTTCTGAAATTTTTTTTAGTTAATGGCTAACTCAAAAATTTTTCTAAACAAAGTTATTTACATTTTGTTTATAAACTTTTTGTTCAGATTAAAGTTTGTGTGTAAAGGCGAGTTTTTTCATCATAAAATACAATCGATCGAAAAATTTATTGTTCTCCAAAAGATTTCAAAGGATCGACAGGATTTAATTATTACAAATTGGCATATCAACAAAAATGTACAGTGTACATGTGACACCAGGAAGATCCACGGAGCGAAAGAAGAACTCAGCCAACATGGATAATGAAATCAGAACGTATGGAAGACGAAGGAAGGAATCGATTTCTGTGAAGCTGATAAACTACATCCGTTCGCAGTTTCAGTCGGATGCTATGTCGGGTGAGTCGGAAAAAGTTTAGCGTTCTAAAGAATCTGAAGCATACCATATATTATTAAATTTTGATTATAGTTGCTAGATTTTGCAGAGTTCAATGTTTTTATGATTTTACGATTACCAAATGCACATGTAAATTAGACGTGTGTATAAGTTTTTTTTGATGCATGAACTTTATTTATTTATTATATATTAATATACAACATCCTGCAGCTCAACTGCGTAATCTAACTAAAAGTACATAAAAAACTTTCATTTATTGATTTTTATCTATATAATTTCTTATTTGTATTTATTTTCTATATAATATATAGGAGACACAATATATGAGCAACACAATATATTACGTAGAATATTTTATAGTATGAGCATAACTTTAGAAATGAATTTAGAACACAAAAATAACAAAAATTTCGTAAAACGTAAATATTAGTTCTATTTGACATTATTTCTGAGTTGCAAACATTTTCGCGTTAATTAATTAAGGATTTACTGCAACAGTGGGCTAATTCATACTTTTTAAAAACGGAGTAAATAAACTGTAAATTAAGGTGATATTGATATTTTTCCCATCACTTTAACTTTAGAGTTTAGTTACTCCTTTTTTAAAAATGTAGGTCAGCCTACTGTAGCAGCAAGTCCTTAAATTCTCGTTACAAACTGAGCTAGAATAGCGTCTTTATGCCTAGTGCAGACTGAACGCAGTAAACGTCAAGCAGCGGAGCAGCAACCAACCAGCAAGGCGATATTTTTTACGCCACTGTAAATATCACCTCACTGATTGGTTGCTGCTCCGCCGCTTGGTGCTTGCTGCATCCAGTCTGAATTAGGCGTACCTTCGCGTGTTACTGATTAATTATTAAGACAGAAATGTGTAAAGACGCTAAGATAGTTGAATTTGTAACAAGAATTAATGAAACACAAAAATGTCTGTTACTCGGAAATCAAATCAAATAGAAGAAATGTTTACACTAACTTTTTGTATTATTTTTGTATTCTGAATTCATTTCTGAAGTTATGCTTATATGTTATGAAACATTCGTATATATGTACATATAAATCCTATATATAATATAAAATCCTAATAATCTTTTCCTGCTAACACATGAAAAAAACATAAAATCTCACATCGCACAGTATTACAATCTCACGTAAATAATAGTCCACAAAAGTACTTAATTAATATAAGTATCTTATCATTTTATCTCCGATCCACGATATATATTTGCCTTTCCAAGATATTGAGTCCTGAAGCTTCTGCGTTTTAAAATAGAACTTTCAATGATCTGCGGTAGAAGCGTTGTACGTTCAAACATAGATCCGTCCATCTATCTTTCAAGGTAATATCGATTATTCAACTTCCATTTTTGTTTGCTATTACTTTTTGTTCGAATATCGCTTTCGTTCCAGTTACAAATCGGAGAAATAATTACGCGTGTCACTCGTCGATGATGCGAAAACGGAAGAGTACGTTGTTGCATCTCGCGGCAATTGCACAAAATAATTACTGAGGCATCAATTACGCGGTACACAATGACGGATAGGCTTCGGTTGTTCCAGTTCCAAGCTGGAACACTAACAAAATTCTTTCGTGACTTAAAAACGGAAAGAAAATAGTTGTTCTGGAGAAACGTCCCTTCATCGTCACTCTGCGGTTCGGGGAACGCTATCTATCATCTTAAAAATCATGATTTTATTCTAGTTATTTGTTTACTATAAACCATAAATCGCGCGCAAATTTTAAGTCTTTGCTATATCCGGCGCGTCCGGGATATCGTCGATTCGATCAGCATTATAAAAGAGCGAGTCTGAAACCTGGATGTTCATGTCGTCAGCAATGGATGGCGGCTCGTACTGATTCATCCACACATCATTGATGGGAGCGTTGTTGGCGATCTCTCTCAGATCATCGTTGTTAGTGATGATGGTTGCATGTGTCGACATTGGTTGCTCGAGGACATCGGTTGGATTGTTGGGCACATTCGTCATTCGCATACCTTGCGATGTGTCGTTATATAACATCCAGTATGGCGAAAAAGAATGTTGTCGCTGTTCGGCGGTGTATCTTCGTTGAATCGAGCAGCCGTTAATTGCCAGACTAGATCGCTGTGAGACGATTGGAGCCACGTAGCAATAGACGCAGGATGTTTGACTTAATTTGGAGTAATCTACTTCCTTGGATAGATGATAATTCAGAATATTCTCCAAATTGTTGTTGGAGAATCCGTGATTGGACTCGGAAGTCCACTTTGGCCAGAACGCTTCCACTGTTCCTGAATGATGAAATATCGCTTAATTAAAACGTCAAAAAAAGAAAATCTGTTCTTCGGAAAAAAAAAACAATTGATATTATTAAGAAATGTGTATACATGATTTTTTTATATAAAAAATACATATAGTTTATATATCTTATTTTTACATTATATATATGTTTGTTTTAGATTATTTATTTATATCAATAAAAAAAGGAAAATAAACGCGCACCATTTGCCGGTCTCTGCAAATTCCCCGTACTAGTTTCTTGATTAATATTATGTTCTAATCCTGCCACAAGATTGCTTTGCGGTTGCTCGAGTCTTTCATTGAATAGATTGTTTGTTTCCTGAGTAAAACGAGGATGAATGTACTGATACTGTTGATCATTCGCATAGACATTTTGCTGCACATTATTCTGTCCGAAGGTATCAACGTTGCGAAAATATCCCGTGTCCACCTCCCCGCTGTGTCTGCCAAAATTTTGCAAATAATAAATATCGGAGGGATCATTGGCCATTATGTCTGTGCCGGTGGTGTAGTTGGTGTCTTGCGTATCGAAGTTGAAGAAGTTTTGGCCGTTGTTGCAGGAGGTATCCGTTTGATACTGATAAGTCACATTGTTGTCCGTGTTTGCGGTAGCTACAGTGGGATCCGTATTGTTGTAATAGATCGCGTGAAACACGCGAGAGTTAGAGGACTGCAGATCACCGTCGGGCACTTCCACGCTAGTGATTGTCCAATTCTGGTAAGAATTGGGCCGATTATCTACGTCACTAGGAAACCTGTATTGATTGTCACTGGTTAGTACACTCGAAACTTGCTGAGGAATCAAGTTTGCTTCGTTTAGCAAGAACTCGCCCCTAGAATTCTTCAGCAAGTTATAGTATTCATTGGTATTTGTGTCCATCTGATCCTCGTTCTCGTTACTCTCTGACTCGGCGGTTAGAGTATCGGAATTATCTAGTAAATTGCTAGCCCAGAAGAGAGAGCTAGCAATCTCACCTAGATTGGCGCCTACTGGTGCCTGTAGCATTCTCTTCAACAAAAACGAACCCTGGGAGCCTCCCTCAGGTTCCTTCAGCACTTGGTAACTCGATCTGTCAGTCGACGAGATCGCAAGAGGATCCGTGTCGTTGATCAGATTCACTTTCGGATAGCTCGGTTCAACAAGAGGAATCGTTTGAAGATTGGGCGACATCGGCGTTGTCCGTAGATCTACGATATTCAGATCTTCCACCTGATTATTGTTGTTGTCACATGCTTGGAACTCCCGTTGAATCCTCTTGAGTAGGAACTGCTTAAACTCCTCGTAGTGCGGGATCTTGGTATCATCCTCCTTACTCACTATTTCCTCCTCGGCACCGATCTGCAAAAATGGAAAGCACTTTGTCCGAAGTCAATCATTGCCGCTTGTTTGCTGCATCACGAAATCGAATGAAATATAAAATGGCAGAAATGAAAGAAAAAACGAGAATGCAATTTGATGGTATGCCATATTGCAACCAACTATGAAAATTTATAATATAACTTACCCACTGATAAGGCGATTGTTGCTGTGGTTGCTGCTGTTGCTGCTGCTGCTGCTGTTGTTGTTGTTGTTGTTGTTGTTGTTGTTGTTGACAATAATAGTCGTCATCAGCCATTATATAGTCGGGACTATGCAATGGCGTCGATGTTATCCCGAGCTTCGAGTCCTTTGACTTCCTCGTTTTCCTCTTGCGATTCTTCCTCAGCTCTTGTAACAATCGGCAGAACTCGGCATCATTTCCGCTTCTAGCGGCTTGCAGAACTTTGACCAGCACTTTCTTCTGTAATTCAAGATCGTGAGAGGAGAGAGTGAGACAATGGAATCGAACATTTGCGACAATTAACTAAATTAAAAGAAATGGAAAAAGAATCGAATCAGTGTGCTCCTCGCCCTGATAAAGTGAATGTATCACATGACACGGTAAACCCTTAATTAGCACCTCTAAAGAATCTTTTTACGTGAAAACATTCTAAAACTGAGGCTTTAAAAGTCAAAATTTTGTGGATATTGATATTCTTAATTAAAGTATACGTAATTTTTACATTATTTTATATCGTTTATTTATGATTTAAAGAAAAACGTAGAAACTCTAAATTGAAAAATGAAAACTTCTTACTGAAAAAGTTGAAATTCTAATAAATGAGACATTGGAAACATCAAAATTGAGAATTGATAAACATTTTGACAGAACTTAAATAACTTTTGCAAACGATTACTAATGCTATAAAAATTACACCATAAAGATTACAGTTAATGATTAATATAGCCATACTATGGCTCGATTAATTTTGGACTAACAATATCTCTATCTACTTAAAGAAAATAAATAAGGACGATCGATGAAATTAACAAATGCGTACGAATACATACTAAAAATAAAATGATTAGGGTTTATCCAGACAAATTTGCACAATCGCATGAACATATGTATAAAGAAAACTATCCAACCGTATTTTACATGCATCCTTATGAGAGAAATGCGATTGGATAATTTTCTTTATGCGATTATACAAGTTTGTCTGAATAGAACCTTATACAATTAGCTTCAGCTGCACTTTGCTACACTCTGCATTTGGAACAAAGAGTGCATTGCGTTTCTCATATAATACGCATGACGTATCATTTATCTTTTGTTCACCAAACGTTAAATAGGGCTAAATGATCTATTACGCGCATCACGCGTGAAACAATGCCCAAAATGAAGCGCATAAGCGTAGAGTG